TCCTTCCTCCTTTGCTTTCATTATAGAATCATTCGAAACCTTCGGGGGGCGAGTTAACAAAGCTTGCTACCACGTTACGTGCATGTTGCGGTTTATCTTCTACGGTTTCCCCATTCTCACGATCTTCGACTTGTTCTACGTGCATGTTGCAGCTTATCTTCTACAGCTTTCCCACATTCTCACGATCTTCGACTTCTATTATGGTTTAGAAACTGCTTCCTATATGTGCGTTTGACTATTCTTCTTTTCACGGTTTGGCCAAAGTTTCGATGTCCATGCAGGTTGGCTTTCTTCACTTTCGATTTTGTGTTTTCGAGAACTCCAAATTGTTTACGGTTCCTTTTTTAACCTTGACCTCATATAACTCTAATTTCTTAGTTTGTATTCGACAATAGGCATTTGGCTATCTTTCACTCGATTCTCGATTGTACTTCTCGATGTTATGTGCTACGTACTTCTAATTAGACATCAAATGATTTTTTGTCTATCTTATCGATTTGTCAATCAGTCACATTTTCTCGCTTTTCTTTCCTTCGATTTCGATCGTTTTTCTCGATTTGATACTAACACAACGTATTTTCATTTTTAAAATATTTTTTTATAAATTTTTACTTATTATCTGAATATTTTATAGTTTTTGTATTTTCAATTATTGACAAGGTCCAATGGCATAAAATAGGGGCTTGACAAAAGAATATAAAGAATCCTACATTTCCTACGAAGACAAGGTTGAGTCTATTTCTTTTCCTTTATAATTCCACGTTCTTTTTCTTTTTTTGTGTTTTATTTCTTCATTTACATGGTATCTCTTTCAAAATTGTTTAAATTACTTTTCACATTTTTTTTATCTTTTTTGTCTAAGTTTCTGTATTTTTATTATTATTATTTTTAATATTGAACATTTGAATTTAGTTTACATTTTTCTATTTGTGTATTTCAACTTACAAAAATCTTTAAAAAGAAGAAAAAGGATTTACGTACAATTCTACAAAAGCAGTCCAACTCATTTCGTGCATATCTTGCACATGCCCTATTACATAACCTAAAGCAATGATTAATATTTCTAATTTTATATGTCTTACTCGTCCAAAAGAGTATTAATAATTACAACCACCTCATAGTCTTCACATCATATATATACTTATAATTCATTCGTAAACATCTTTTCTCTTTTTCTTATTGTAATTAGACAACAAGTTATATAAAAAATGAAGAGTAGATGTTCTTTTAATTATTGTTATTTATTATTATTATTATTATTATTATTATTATTATTATTATTATTTTATTTTCGCTTGCAAGTATGGTGTATATCCCAAACGCATGAAAAACTTAGGTTTTTTTTCTAATAAATTACTAAGATCTATTCAACTAGATTAAGAATATGGTTTTTTCCATGGGTTTTGAGTGAATGTGATTGAACACCATAACAGTCTTTAATAATTGGATATCTTTCACCATCATATATCTTTTATTTTTTATCAGTTTTATATATATATATATATATATATATATATATATATATATAGTGAATTTTTTACACAAGTTATAGTTAAAGCTAAAATTAACTACAAGTATATTTAAAAAAAAACTTCTTCATAACTGTCTATTTTATGAATATTTCATCCTATAAAATAAAAAAATTATAATCTCAAAAATATATAATTTGAATTTTGAAATAATCATAATAGAATAAATACTAAAATTGCATTGTACCAACTTTAAAACAATATATATATATATATATATATATATATATATATATATATATATATCATTCTAAATAAATTAAAAAAATGTTGTATAATTACCTCACTGTTTCTTAAATATTCATCTTACCCCTCCTGCTAATAATAAATATAAAAATATATATTTTTATTATTATAAAATTAATAAAAAGAGTTATTGTTGATTTGTTTGTAGGATAGAAGTTGTGGATGTAGTAGTACTTCTCATGAATAAAAATGTGAAAGTACTGCATGTTATTTGTTTCTAATTTCTTAAATCTGGTGATGGTACAGACTCTATCCATTTAAGCTCACGGTCACTGTTATCCATAACAATAGATAATTTTATGATTTAAATAAAAATTCAAAGTATTTGCATTCAAGTGTGGAAGAACAACTCATAACTCAGCGCTTTTATAAAGTTAACAAAAAACACCTAGTAAAGGAAGGAGAACGTGACCTTATTTGACAATGACAATAGTAATGGCAATGCAGCACCTAAAATTGCAAGACGTGAACGCAATGCAACGATATTATTCACATGTTCGAAAGAGAGAAAAATGAAGAAAAAGCAATCAATATCAATAACATGTAATTGAGCACATGAAATAGCCACGAAGAGCGCATCCTGAACATCCATTTTGGTCAAATATAATGGATATGGCGTTAGCATAGGCATGAAAAAACTAGACCCATCCACTCTCTTCAAAATTAACTCAACACTCTTTGTGCCGACAAAATCAAGGGTCCACACCGGACCCATGCTCTTAATCCACAACAATAATCATCCTCCAAATTAATCACTTTTTTCATTTCGAGTATCGTGTATTTTTATTTTATTTTTCTTTGTGTCCTAGTATGCATTTTGTCTAGCATTTAAGATTATATATTTTAAAAAGTATTTTATTTAACCAAAATGTCCTTATTCATTGCGTAATTGGATAGATAGTAAAAACAACATCACAATTTTTTCTTGACATTAGACGCTAACGAATTGAACACACAGAAAGTTTCCAAAAACAAAAATCATATTTTCCTTTCTTTCTTTCTTTATATATCGGTCAAACCAAAATCATATTTATTTCTTTAGCTGTTTTGTTAAAGTTTCTAATCTCCATCAAAGTTAAAAAAATGCATTAAGTTTAATATTAGTTTGTAAAATAAATGAAAAATATTATTCTATTATAAATCTGAAGTACAAATTATTTAAAATTGAAAGAAAAATTTGTCCAATTCAAAACAATTCATATGTAAAATTTATAATCAAATCATGTTTTTATTTATAAATAATTATTATGAGAAACTCCTTTTAAAGATATTCTTACAGTAATTTTATCGTGTATTTCCACTCAGAATTTATAACAGATAATTAATTTATATAAAATATTTTATGATAAAATATATTGTTTGAATGATTATTTTGTGGAAAAAAGTTTATAATAATAATTTGATTATTTTAAAAAAATATACTTAATTATTTAATCATGTGAGTGATTAAAATTGTCGTCATAGAAATTCTCTATATTTTCTATTTTATATTATTTTATATTTGATATTTTATATGTAATAGTAATTTTATATTTTTATTTGATAATAATTGTGATAATTAAAATACTATATTGTAAAAAGAGAAATAAAATTTATAAATTTTAGATTGCATTATTTAAATAAAATATTTTTAAAAAAATTAAACAATTTACAACAACAGTTCAAATTGAATGATTTTGAGTAAGTCTAACTAACCTTTTTATCCTTTCATCATCACTATGTTGGACACGTTGGCGGCTTCCTAAACGGAGTAAAAGAGGCCCTGTACCCCGCATCTCAAAAGAAAAGAGAAACCGCGTCAAAAGCCGAAGCTGCTGTGTCAGAGGCGACACAACGCAAATGGTCACGTAATCGGGACCCACCATTATTCAAAGTTCAAAACTGACTTTGCCGCAAAATAGTTCGATAAATTTCTATGTAAATATTTTTAAAATAAGAAATATTATTAATTAGTACATAAATTAAAAAATTAAAAATATATGCAAAACTTTATATATATATATATATATATATATATATATATATTTATATTATTTTTCTTACAAATTTTACAGAAAATTGTATTGGAAAGAGAATTTTACTCTAATTATTATCGGATATTCACCAATGTACAAGCAATTACCACTTTTGCTTGCTTATTAATTATGCATGCATAAGTGCAGTTGATAGGTTCATATCCGCCGTTATTCTTCCCACTCGCGTTAGCTAAACTCTCTTCCTATTAATGCTTCATTTTTCATCAACGTGTTACATAAGTTTAGACTCATTTTTCAATAAAAATATCTAAAGGAGGAAAATACGAAGAAAATAAAAAAATTATAATTTTTTTATAAGTTAAATTTAGTTTATGGAATAGATAAAACAAAAATTTAGAAAAATAATATACGACTTTTTCTATATAAATTAATTTTAATTTATGGAAAGTTGTTTTCAAATTTTATTTTATAGAAAGTTAATTTCTATATTTTAGTCTTTTCAAATTATTTGTAAAGTTGATTTCAATTTACATCTAATCCTAATCTCGAATCACAAACAGTTAAATTGTTATTTCATATGCACCCAAAAATTATTATTCTTCGAGAGAAAAAACAAAAATAGTCATGTTAGAAAAATTAATAATTTTTCTATAATCTTCTTCCTAATGATCAAACATATATATATATATATATAATCTCATACTATAAACATGTTATAAACTAAATGCGAAAGCGTCACTGAATTAGTCATAATAATGATATTCTCTGTAGAAGCACCTTTGATTTGATCTTATGGTCTTCCACTCGAAGAAGCACTCGTATTTCCCTATGGATTTTCTCTCTTGATGGGGATAGAAAGAAAAGAACGGGATCAGTAATCGTGTTCACTGCGTGTGCTCTCGAAGGGGACCATGACCCTTTATATAACCAAAATTAGGTTAATTACTTAAGTTTTAGTATTTTCAATTTGGCCCCTCATCAAATTAGAAATTACTCTATGGTCTCTATACAATCATATTTTCACAACATATGTCTTTAGCCAAAACTTTAATTTATTCAGATCACTTTATTATTTGGCTTAATAAATAATGACCCTAACACATTTAAATATGTATCATATATATACATGACCCAAAATTTGCCAACAATCTCCCACTGGTCACAAATATATATGTCTTTACAACCTTACAAATGTGTTAGACTTTATGAGCTCAAAATTGTCATTATATTCCTTTAGCATATTCCAAAAGTCCTGTCCATTAATCATATCAGGATATAGAACCAAACCAGCTTTTCATTGCATCATCGCAACTAAAACCAACAAGATTACTCATCCCGACATAACCAAATAACATGGATTCATCATGAAATGTGTAGCATGAAAAATTACGTGAAGGTGATCTCGTACACGTCTATTTTCAACTGGTCCAAACTTTAACTTATCGAGATCGATACAATAACCTTAATGTACAAAGTGTAATGAATGAACAAGAAAACCGCATATCTATAGATAACCAAATATGTCCAAAAAACAATGTATACATATATAAAATTAAACATAGAACATAAAATATATGAAAATGACTAACTCCCACTAAACCACAAATTCCTCAAACTGTAAAACACCCATGTGAGCAACATGCTCATGAAAGACCTTGGGCGGAAATCCTTTAGTTAGAAGATATTCTATCATGGAGTTTGTCCTTAAGTGTTCTATGAAAATCTGTCCACTTTGTACTCTTTCCTTAACAATATAGCTGATTTATTGTCACAATATAACTTAAGTGGTCTTTCAATACCTTTCACAATTTGCAGCCCTGTGACAAAATTTCTCAGCCATATTCCATGATTTGATGTCTCATAGCATGCTACAAATTCTTGACATCCTGCAAAAATCTGAGTCAGAAAACCCAGCGATCTCCAACTGGTCTGACCTCCTGTATGTGAGCATATAATCTTTTGTTCTCTTTAAATATCTTATGACCCTTTTTGCTGCTTTCCAATGGTCTATTCCTGAATTGCTTAAATATCTGCCTAGAACCCCAACTATGTATGTTATGTATGGATGCATACACATTTGGGAATACATCAAACTCCCGATAGCTGATGCATGGGGAATCTGTTGCATTTCCTCAATTTCCAAATTCCCCTTTGGGCACTAATTTAGACTAAACTTGTCTCCCTTAGTAACTGGAGTATCCCCGACTCTCTCAGAATAACCAATGAAGTATTAAGAGTTGCATTATAGGTGACAGTATCATGTAAATATAGATTATCATAAGTCAAAAAATTGAACCAGTTATAACAATATTTGAATTAAAAGACAAACTGAACTTATTGTTTCCAAATGAACACAAATAACCTAATTTGTCCAAATAAGAAACTGAAACCAAATTCCGTCTAAAAGACGGCACGACAAAAAAAATGTCTTTTAAATCTAAAATAAAAAAAAACAGTATACAATAATAATCTAAAATGTTCAATAGTCTCTATCTCCACCAATTTGTCATTTTCAACGTATATTCATCTTTCAGAATTAGTTGGCTTCCGGTAGTTTAGGCAACCCTTTCTTTTCACGCCAAGCATGATATTTAGCACATTGCTTCTTTATGTGTCCAGTCTTATTGCAAAAGAAACATTTATTTTCTTGAGTTTGTTTCTTTTGTTCTGGACCTTTAGCAGCTTCCTTCTTGGGATCCTCCGATCTCTTTCTTTTGCCTTTAGCCTTAAAGGTGCTTGCAAAATGAGCATTTTCTGTCTTGTATTGTTTTAGCCTTTCTTCTTCTTGCACGCAATGAGAAATGAGCTCATTAAGAGACCATTTATCCTTTTGACAGTTGTAAGATACCTTAAATTGATTAAACGTTGCGGGAAGAGAAATCAACACCAAATGAATGAGCAAGTCTTCTGAGAGTTCAAGCTTTAGTGCCTTGAGCTTAAAAACAATATTAGACATGCTCATAATGTATTCCCTTATATTTCCTTTGCCCTGATATTTCATGGAGATCAAGTTCTGAAGAAGAGTGTTTGCCTCCGCCTTATCGCTTTTTGCAAAGTGATGTTCAATTTCAGCAAGAAATTCTTTGGCACTTGTGATGTTTTCAGAAACAGTGCCCCTAAACATCTCCGGGATGCCGCGCTTAATGATCATTAGACTCATGCGATTTGAGCGATCCCACTTCTCATAATCTCTTTTTTGTTCAGAGGTACTTGAATCCGTAGGAGTAGGGGGTTGCTCAGTCCTTAACGCAAGATCCATATCCATGCAGCCAAGAATAATATCAATATTCTCTTTCCAGTCCTTAAAATTTGTTCCATTGAGGACCGGAACAGAATTTAAATTGACAGATACAGAAGCAATTGTAGCTGGATTAGAACAAAAGAAATAAATTAATTATGCTCACATTATAAAATAAATAATTATAAATAAAATATATATTCAAATAATGGTTTAACCCATCTCAAGACACCCAATGCACCATCAATATCAAGTCTTTGGACGAGTAATATTAACTCGCTAGAGGTATCTTGTTGTAATAATCAAACATTGACAATAAAGCACGTCCAACAACAAACCAGTCTTTGGATTGATTTATCATCGACAAAGCAAATCCTTATAATTATCACATGTTTATCATTACAGGTGTGTATGTAATTCGACCAAATATTAATCTTCCTTTAGGCCGACTAATACTCGCATGAATATACACAAACACTAACATTCAATATTTTTTTACGAACTACCCAATTCAAGAAATGTTACTTTGGTAACTTCTTGACTCAATTTGTTCACAAAAAATATTAAACTACCAAAAAAGTAATATTTTATTTATATAACAAAACCAAATATATAAATTAAAAAAAAATATATATACAACGACATTCACGAGCGTGAACCATCGTCACTGCATAATGCATCATGGGCCGAAGACGATCTCATGGGTTAAGGGCCTGATTGTTAGTAATTAACTGTCATCTAGGGTTTTAAACTAAACCCTTTAATTGATATTCAGTTCATAACAAAGAATTATACCACGATGTGGAATTTGCTACATAAATTAAATGATGTTATTAGGCTCCACCCTAAACCAAATTTCAACAAATCAATTTAGGGCAAGAAATGTTTTGATTGTTTATACTAAAGTTACAGTCTCCTCAACTTCTTTTAATTGAGGAATCTTTCGTTTGATTAACTTTAACACATCTTTTGGTCTTCTACTTGCAGTCAAACCATCTTCTTTTTCTCCTCAACAATTGGCACTCCAATTAGGATCAAATATTATCTTTTCTTGAAGCATTTTGTCATCTGGTCAGCCTTATTTAAACCCTATTTATTGCATCCTCCCAATCTTTCCGTTTACTCAATCCTACTTCACTTATCTCCTAATATGGATAAAAAATGAGTTTGCTGATTAGGAACTGACATTTACTAATAATATTTGATCGGAATCAAGGAACTAGCCTCAATTGCAGTGCCAATTTTGTAAGAAAGAAGGGAATAGAAACTTGAGAACGAAATATATTCAGAGAAGGTTCAAAAATTTCCATAAAACAACCTAGTTCATGTACTGTCAAACAGTACCAATTATTTGAGTCTGTACAAATTCCATGCATCAACCCTTAGACCAACTGTTATGAAAATAATTAAACCAATAACATAAACTAAGGGAAAAGGTAATTGATTACTTGTATTCCAACAGAACTGTAGCAAAAAACAACATAACTGAGAGACATGCAATAGCAACAATAGGGTTGAAATGATAAGGGAGTACTTGGATAATGGGTAGATACCAGGGACCAACCACCAAGCCATTACCTTTTAAGCCAGAATTAAAGAAGCCTGTCTAAGACAGCAGTAGCAGACGTGAAGCAAGTTCACTCCCCATTCAGTGATTTAGCCTTCACACTGATGCCACACAATTCCATAAACGAGGTGATTTCTCTTAACAACCACTTTCATCTGGAATTTCTAGTCCACATACCCTTATCCAAGCATCACCTAAACAAGTCAAATCACTACCAAAAAACTTTAAGAAAACCCACAAAGAGTCAAACCACACGCATGAGACACACCAGCAACAAAACTTGACATAGTAAAATTTTTAAACTTCCTTTGAATCTTGCCACTGATATATGCACCCTCCTCGTCACCACCACCACCCCAACACACAACATGTCCCAGTGGTCGCAATCTGCGGCCGGGAGTTCCACAACTTTGAAACAAGCGCCGTGAACCCCTCCTCAGTCCGCCGAAACGCTTGTTGAATGGCCTCAGATGTCACAACACTCTGTGACTCGGCCAATATCGCTTGGAGATTACGGAACAAGTCATCGCAAACGTATTGCGAGCAATCAGGACCGCCGTGGCCGTCGTAGACGCCGACGAAGGTGCCGAAGGGTCCGGACTCGATCTGGCTCTGGTCCTCGAGTACCTGATTAGCCTGAACGACGACCATGGAGAAATCGCCGGCGGCAAACCTTCCGATGTCGCAGAACCAGAGGAGGTCGTCCTTGTATTCTCTTCCAGCATTGGCGTCGCCACCTTGCCCGAACGACTTCCAACATCTCTCAGAAACCCTAACCCTAGGCCCCCAACACCAGAACCTCTCCCACTGGGGGCGCGGTGCTACGAATCTGAATTAGCCAGAGGCCTAAGCTACCGCTGTTCAAACCTCTCCAATGTTCCCCTTTCCGTCGCGAGCAGCCCCGCGACTGAATTAGCCAATGAAGACGAAGGAGTAGAAGCAGTTTGGGGTTTTCACCCTCAAATACGAAATTAGGTTTTAAAATTGGGATTTTACCCCAAATTTGATTGTGGGGTTCATAAAAAATTATTAATTAGCCAGAATCTAATTTCCAAATGCAAACATGAATTAAGTATGGGTTGCTCTGATACCATTTGTTAGAAAAATTAATAATTTTTCTATGATCTTCTTCCTAATGATCAAACATATATATATATATATAATCCCATACTATAAACATGTTATAAACTAAATGCGAAAGCATACCTGAATTAGTCATAATGATGATATTCTCTGTAGAGCACCTTTGATTTGATCTTATGGTCTTCCACCTGAAGAAGCACTCGTATTTCCCTATGGATTTTCTCTCTTGATGGGGATAGAAAGAAAAGAACGGGATTGTAATCGTGTTCGTCTACATGCTTCTCGAAGGGGACCATGACCCTTTATATAACTAAAATTAGGTTAATTACTTAAGTTTTAGTATTTTCAATTTGGCCTCTCATCAAATTAAAAATTACTCTATGGTCTCTATACAATCATATTTTCACGACATATGCCTTTAGCCAAAACTTTAATTTATTCAGATCACTTTATTATTTGGCTTAATAAATAATGACCCTAACACATTTAAATATGTATCATATATATACATTACCCAAAATTTGCCAACAAGTCATTGATTGTCATATATATATTGCTATTATGTAATTACATTTGACAAGTAAGGAGGCTGATTCCTTCGATATAAAGAAATTCAATTGAGCAAGAAAAATAAATAATATTTTTTACGATAAGAAATTAGAAGTCGCTATTTTTTAGTGAATAAAGTGTGTTTGCAACGTAGAGAATAGAGATGTGAGTTGGAACACGAGTTGCCTATAATTGAATTGAATTTTTTTTGGAGGGTTTGATGCATGTACCGTGAATTCTATTGCTTCCCATGTTTGCCATGATACATCACAAATAATTTTTTTGATGGTAAATGGTCTTCTTTTTCTCATTAAAAAATACCCGTTCCCAACGAAAATCAGCCTCTTTATGTGTTTGGTGTTGGTTATTTGAAGAACAGAACAAAAACAAATGGTTATGTTATGCTAATTCCATTTGTGCACTATTTATAAAGTTATGAAATATATTTATGTGAAATTAAAATCATAAGGGATGTGTATGGAGAAAGAACTAATTCTCCTTTTCATAATTGATAACAAAGAAAAAGAAAAAGAACGTAATTATTGTCACGTGGTGTAGTTGAATTTCTAGTAATTATTGTAGACATGAACAGAAAGAAAATGAATGGGGAGGGAGAAACATTGACAAATTATAAAGGGAATCTTCTTTAATAGTTGTTTAGTGTGTGAAGTGCAGAAGCAGAATACGCAGAAGCAGCCATGTTAGTAGGAAAAAGAGTGGTGAACCAAAAGAAGTTGTTTGTTTTTTGAGTAGTGGCACACGACTTCATCATTCGTAGTGTAGACCACATAATAAGTAAGTACCAAGTAATTCGCTTGCAGACTTTGTTCAACTAACTTAACCAGCAAATTTTGGAGGCTGAGTTCGATGGAAGCATCAAGTCTGCACTCACGCTTCTTCCAGACCGTGTATTTCACGCACGAATTAAGGCACCATCAAGCATGGTGTTTGACTCGTAAATTACGTATCAGCGCTTGGGTCTAATAATACCCACATCCGCCGCAATTGCAGTACTTGTCTTGCGCAGCCACGTGGCACGCTCTTTCCCACGATCCAAAAATTAAAACTTCATTTATCGATATACAAATTATTTACAGTTAACATTTTAAAACAAATGGTTGAAAATTGAATGCTTAACTAGTGCAACAGTTCCTTCGTAAATAGATCTTATAAACGAGTTGTTAAAATGAAAAGAATATAAATAATATTCTTTTATTAGATCTATATATAAGTAATATTTCTAATCATTATAATTTTTTTAAGAATTTTCATGAGAGATGTTCTTGAATCAAATATTTTATATTTGCTAGTAATATTAAATATTTATAATCATTTATTTAAAATAACTTAAATTAGAGTTTGAAAACGAAGGAGACGATGGATATGTTTATTCCAAAAATTGATAAAAAAAATAATAATCAATGTATAGTCGAAGATCTTATGCTTAAATCTTACGCCGTAAATCCACCAACTCGTTGCCCACTAGCAACAAAATGAAAAAACTCAATCGAATATTTATAATATACTGTTTCACCTTATTTTATAACAAAAGTATTCATCATATATTTGTAAAACATTTTTAATATTTTTCATTATCATTCATATTTTTTGAAAATTACAAGTTATGGTCAGAATTTGCTAAATAAGAAATAAACCTCACATAATTTTATAATTGTAATAAAAATATCAACTAATAATAAAAGGATGTGCTTAATAAGGCTTTGAAAAATATATGTCTAATATTTTTCTATTTTATAATTAGTCACTAATAACTTGCTATACCGTTTAATTCTTCTTATTTTTTTTCAAAGAGTTTTCAATATTGATTTTAGGCATGTTGGGTGCGGGTGCAACAAATATTTATTACATAAAGTATCATTTCTAATATCATTAGAGAATACAATTCATTACACTTTGTTTTATTTTAAACTTAGATTAGACACTAAATGATCTAAATATTTGATACGATGGATTTAATCATATTTCAAAGAGCATATATATTATGTTAATGGTTAACAATAAAACATAAAAAAATATATTTTTTATAAATATTGGCCGTATAACATTTAATTGTAATCATTCACACAAAATTTACAATGTGTATTTTTCTCATCCCAATTGCATACACACGTATGAACATAATTTCCCTGATTTCGAAAAATATCAGTCTCATGCAGATTAAAAAATTTCTCAATCGATAATTGTAAATTAAGTTTTTTTTTTTAAGATTATGGAACTATTTGAAAATGTTAATTATCTCTTAAAACTTTTTATATTTTTACAACTGGGCCCTTCTATCTAAGTATGAAAAAGTGAAAAAAATAATAATACAAGTTCAAGTGTTCCATTAAATAAAATATACTTATAAGACTTACTTAAAAATTACTAAAATAGTTTAAGAAACTAGAGAATAATTTAACCTAAAATTCTATTAATCTGAGTTTTCCACTTTATCTCCCCTGTCAACAAATTCTTTGATATAAATATAAATATAGAGTTGAATTATATAAATTCACTCTATGGTTTAATAATTAAATTTATATAAAAAACTTTTAAAACACAAAGATACATGTTATTAAGAAGAAGAGAGATGAAATCACTTTAATTTTATAATAAAAATAGAGGTGGAGATCTATTATTTTTACATTTCATGTTAGTACGTTTTTATTCTATATATATTTCTTTTCATCCATGAATCAAGTTAATCCCAATCTACACTTCTAAACCTTGATAACAAAAAGTGGTTATGCATTTACTCATCTTTAATTCCTACCCCTAAATTCCTGGGAGTGGTTATGCCTTTATTTCTTATTCATTACTAGTACCTAGTGAAAAAGTCTATATCCTAAAGATAATTTTATGTACCTCAGGATGGCTCAGTTAAGAAATTTAAAATAATTTTGTATTAAGTATCATACAAACATACTTTTATATATTATAATACATTTCCATATAATTTTTTTTTCTTAAATGATATAAAAAAGCATTACTTAACCTTATTTTGTGATCTTACAGGCTAACTAGACTGGATAGAATGTAGCCTAAACATATATACTTCATGTAATTGTCCAAAATACATTGGAATAATGGATTCTCAAATAATGTTTCCAAAATTTGACCAATATGCCTACTTGCCACACTCTCAACCAAACTAATTAATATGTTCCTTCACTAAGTACTCAACTTGGCAACTAGTATGTTTGTTGTTGGTTCCTGAATTTCTCATTTGGAAACCTACTCAACTAATATCCTTTATCATCTTTTAATGCTACTTGATTTCACTATCAATTTAGAAAGAAAGAAAAAAATTATTAAAAGGTTACACCACATTTCAAATTATAACTTACTCATATGCCTATATTTTAATTTCATAATGTTGGTGGGAAAAAATCGAAAGAAAGAATTCGATGATTAGAAAAATCAATATATGGATCGAAAAATGAGTGAAAGGAAATCGATGACCATATGATGGTTAAAAAATCGATAGATAAATTGAAAGGTGGTTAAAAGACATTCGATGATCGTGTTGGTGGAAAAGAAATCAATATGTGAAATCGAGAGTTGTTCGATGACATGATAGAGAGTAAAAATGATGAATATCGAAGGTAGTCAGAAACCAATTCAAAGTAATCGATGTCTGGAATCGAGATCGATGAACGGTTAACGCGCACATGGAACATGGGAAACAGTTTTCTAAACCGTGACTAAAATAGAAATCGAGACAGTTAGCATGTACATAGGTAGCGATTTTTGAAACGTGGCTAAGATCGAAGATCGAGAGAGCAGTTGTTTCATGCATGGGAACGTGACAGCGATTTCTAAACCGCTCTTAGGAGGTTACGTTGAAGAAAGCCTATAAATAGAATGAAGCGTAAAGAGAAAGGGGAAATTAGCAGAGATAACAGAAACATAAGTGAAAAGTCTACCGAAGAACGACGAATCATGAAGTTTCTGGCGATCTGGATTTCCATTTTCATTGACTGTTTTTATCGCTTTCTTTACTTTCCCTGGTACTTTATCTTTAATGCAATTTAAATTTATGTCATTTACTCTTATGCAATTTTACAATTCTGCATTTACTCTTATGCAATTCTACGATTCTGCATTTACTCTTATGTCATTTTACTATTCTGCATTTATACTTGATGCAATTTTACTTTTATATTATTTACTTTTAGTGCAATTCGACAACCTTTTACTGCTTTCTTTAGTTAAGTTTTATTTTTTCGAGTCTTTTAATATAAAAAAAAATACAAAAAGAGTACTTTCGATTTCGATATGTATGCTTTATCATGCATTCCATGTTTCTAATATACGTGCATACTTTATTTTTCATTCGGTTCGATCATCGTGACATTTTCAATTTTCATACATTTTTTTATTGAAAATTATTTGCTAGCATAAATAAAAAAAATTACGTGTTAAAATTTGGTTAGAACTTAAATCTCTAAAACATCGAAAATAATTAAAATTTTCAACAAAAACACATTGTTTGTATTATTTTTATTTTAATCAATGAATTTATTTTAAATATATGACGAAATGTGCTTTTGTTTCTAAAAACAAAAATACCATTATTTACTTTTTTTTTTAAAGAAAATGTTAGATTTTAGAAAGTAAAAGGTGAGGTTGAAACAATAACAGTGAGGGGGAAGGGTCTACTCTACTTTACTCTTTCCCTTCATTCCATTCTTTCGTGGTTGCTTCATTCTTCAACCTTTGACATGCAACCATGACGTCATGCCCTTCTTCATATAATTTCTCAACACAATTTTTTGGCTACATTAATCAACCCCTTTCTTTCCCTTTTTCTCACCCTGTTAATTAATCTTCCTCGCTTCTTATCCACAACACTCTGCTTTAACACTTTTAACACATGACAAAAGTACTACAATTACATCCAACATTATATAAAAATACAGTGTTTGAAAATACTTCACCCTAAAATATTATAATTAGAGTAATCGAAATTTACCTAGACAAATCCTAGAACAGATATTTTCTTTATTTCTTTTATAGTATGAAAGTTACTTCAAATTTATATTTTAAAATAACAAGGATACAAAATAATATTATATTTTAAAATAAATATAATATTATTGTATAACAATAACACTTTTTAAAATTAATAGGACACGTCACAATTCAATAAATAAATAAATAAGATGTACAAATAATTCAATAGAATAAAATTTAAACATTATAATATCTATAAACTTTAACTGCAGTCTTTTTCAAGTAAATATATTTTTCAGGCATGAACTTTAAGATTAGTTAATATTATAATAATTTTTTATGTAATTTTAATATTTATTATAATCAAATTGACATGGAAAATAAAATTATAATTAAATTTTAGAACTCAATATTTTAATATAACAAGATTGAAATCCAATCTGTAATCCTTTTAATCTCTCACTAAAGTGAAATTTTAATTCTTATAAAAATTAAATAGTACATTTGATATATATTTTTAAAATAAGGTAATTTTACTCTAATATTAATATATAATTTAATTTTTAAAAAATATTTAATATATGTTCAATAATAATGAATGTTAAAATTCATTATTAATATCATATGAATAAGTATTAATACTGGATGGATATGTGACAATATTTTTTTGTTGATAATTTAATGATAACTTTAAATAACAGCTATTACTTAAATTTAAAACATTAAAATACTAAATATATAATCAAATTTCAATAGAAATAAAAACTGCACATTCATAAAACTAATAAAAAGCTAAAATAAAAATTAAACCAATTAATAAATAAATTTAACGCTTTCATATTAATATTCGATATTTAAGTGATTAATTTGAATTCTTTTGTTACTTGAAAGGAACCAACTAAAAGCAATTAGAACGAGTCCTTTCGCAGTGAAGCAGAAATACTGGGACAATTGAATTTAATACATAAATTTAAGTGTTATTGTAAATTGAAATATGAAATGCTTCAATTACTTTGGCAGGATATTCTAGAAAACTGATTTTAAAAAATTATTCCTTTAAAATAATAAAAAAATGAAATATTTGCAAATTGTATAATCTCAATTATTCTTAAACATATACCACAAATTTACACTTAATAATAAATTTAACCATTCATTCTTAAAATTATAAGACTTTTAGAATTATGTTCACCCTCAAATAACTATGTATTTTTATCCTTCGTGAAACGTACTTTTTCTTAATATTTAGATCACGTTTATTCGCTTTTTTTTAATTGATTATTCAATTAAAGAAATTTTGTTATAAATAGTTATATAAAATTATGGAATTTAAATGAATAATTATAAAAATTTAAAACTAAAATTAGGAATTTTTGTAAAATATAAAATTACAAAAGTAAAATAAAATTTTATAAAGTATAGAGATAAAAATTAGCGGGAAAAAAAAAAGATTGACAGTTGAGTTACATGGTAACCCTCGTGAAGAAAAATGTAAAAAGGAAATAAAGGAGCGTAGAATTGAATGCAGAATGAGGTGTGAACGCGGAAAGACATGGTCAAACAGGGTTTGCAGCAACGTTAAAGTCACCCATACCTGACGGATGGCGTGGCCACGTGTCTCCTGCAAACATAACAGCGGCGTGTGTCTTTCATTCATTGGCTCCTACGTTAATCATCCTTAGCTGTCTTGCTTCAGCGGAAACTAACCCTTCTCACTGCCACTACACTTTTTCAATTAATTTACCAATCAACAGCGATAATCGACTCCGCCTCCGCCTATATAACCACAACCCACTCACAAAGACAAAACCAAGAGTGACCGAGAGATTCTCACCAAACAAAACTTCTGTTCCTCACTTCACATTTCTTCTTCAAAACTTCTCTGCCTCAATTTTCTAATCCTCTTTCTCTAATCTTCTCTCACTTTCTCTCTCTCTTCCCCCCCTCTGTAACGCCCCGCTTCTCTGAATCCCTTTCTGTTAATCATCTGTCTTTCAACGTGTCATTTTTTGGGTTTGCCTCTATTCTCTCACAGAATCAAACTTCAAAGGATTTCTCGAAAGCCAGGTGTTTTCAGAATCGAGATCCAGGTGTTTTTTTTCATTGTTTAGGTTAAAAATCATTATTTTCTTTTGTTCAGCCACGAGGGTTCTTTTTTATCCCTCAAAGCTCTATTTTATTCTTAATTTCCTTGGATTAACGGGGTTGGCTATTTTAAACCTCTTCCAAGCTTTTTTAATTTTCGAAATTTGGAGATTTTGAAAGAAAATTTTATCTAAGATTTGTGTGTGTAGTCGGAAATTTTGTATGGCAGCTATGATGGATTTCTACAACGGACAAGGTCAAGTTCAGTCAGATCCATTCAGAGGTGAGCTCATGGAAGTTCTAGAACCTTTTATGAAAAGTCCTTCCTCAACTCCCTCTTTATCTTCGGATTCACCTTTCCCTTCAACTTCAACTTCATATTCCTACTCTCCTTCCCCACTTTCAATCCCTCCACACCCCAATTTCTACACAGACCCTTCCTCCAACCTATTCCAAACCCCAACCCTGATAGGCTTTGAACAACAACCCACTTCTGCTATCGGGCTCAACCACCTAAGCCCGTTTCAGGTTTCTCAGATCCAGGCCCAGATCCAGGCCCAGAGCCAGTCCTCCCTCTCCCTGAACTTCCTGACTCCCAAGCCCGTGCCCATGAAGCAAGTGGGTGGGCCTGCGAAGCCCACGAAGCTGTACCGCGGGGTGAGGCAGAGGCATTGGGGAAAGTGGGTGGCGGAGATCAGACTCCCCAAGAACCGAACCAGGCTCTGGCTCGGAACCTTCGACACCGCCGAGGAAGCCGCTTTGGCGTATGACAAAGCCGCGTACAGACTCCGAGGCGACTTCGCCAGGCTCAACTTCCCGAACCTTAAAGGTTCGTGCCTCAGCGAGTACAAGCCTCTGCAGTCCGCGGTGGACGCTAAGCTCGATGCCATTTGTCAGAGCCTGGCCGAAATGCCGAAGCAGGGGAAGACAGAGAAGGGTGCCAGGTCATGCAGGAAGTCCAAAGCAGTTCCAAAGGAGGCTCAGAATCCGAACCAGGACTCCAAGCCTAACTCGAACCTGAACGTTTCGTGCAAGACCGAACCGGAACCTGAACCAGAACCTGCTCTGTCTCCTGAAAGCGAGGGTTCTGTGGATTCTTCTCCGCTCTCTGATCTTACCTTCGATGTCGCCGAGCCGCAGTGGGAAGATGCTTCTGCACATTTTAACTTGCAGAAGTTTCCTTCTTATGAGATCGATTGGGATTCTCTGTGAACACATGTTTCAAATGTTGTGTAGTTTTGTGGGTAATAATAATAATAATTTAGTGAAGTAGTAGTAGGTGGTAGGGGCTATGCTGCAATTGAATTTTTGAAGATTGCAGTGTCGCACGTAGGATTTCGATTATTGGGTTTATTTTTAGGTTTTATTATATTTTTATTTTTGTTTATCTTTTGAATATTGACTATTATGTCAATAAGTTGTAAATCTCTCTGTCCTGGTCACAGCTTGTTTTTTTTCTTGCTTGGCCAGGGAGAATCACTCCGGTTAGGTTTTTCTCCATGTTTTGGTGTTCCTCCAACTGTGTAATTCAATTCTATCTGTATCTTAAGTTACATTTATATATGTTTCTGCTTTTTTAGTTTGTTGGTTTTTTGAATAATTCTTTACATTTCCTTGTAATAGAAGCTTAATCACCAGCTAATACCTATCTATGTATAAGGCCCTGCAACGATTAAGAGTAGGGTCATGATTATATCAATAATAATCAACTTGTTATTATGCATACATTTCTACTTGTGTTTAATCTATGTTTTTTCTATTTACCTGCTTCTATTCCAATCCAATATATAGCCACCTTTTTAATATTTGTTTAGCGTATTATTTTAATAAACATGGCATTTCCTAATATTCAATATTTCATAAAAAATATTTTTTTTTTTAAATAAAAAGACAAACTCACTTGCGTTCTGCATGTGAATAATGTTGGATTTGATTTATGTTGAAGGTGCAAAACACGATCCATGTGAGTTGGTATCGGAATTATTCAACGCAGAATTTAGCTTCAAAAAATCACAAGTCATTGTGGTCGAGATTCTCGTTTAGACTTGGGTGGCGTAACAACAATAGGTTCATGTTTGATGTTTCACATTTTCTCTAGAGTAATCAATTTTGCAATTTTGATTACACACCGTTCATTTTTATTTTTTCTCTACCTTTCTTTTTTGAGATATCACCAAATACATTAAACCAATATCTCTTCTTTTCTCTTCAAATCTCTCTTTAGATTTCCACAGCATGTGAACAAATATTTTTCCTTTTCACTAATTGCAGGGTTTGAAGTTGTCTTGGAAAGTGGAAATTGAACTAAACCCAAAGCACCGCATGGAATCTATTCACGTAGCGTAAAAACTCACCTTCTTCCAGTTATTCCATTCACTGAACCTTGGTTGGGAGGGAGACACCACCTCCCAATGATCAAAAACTTTGTCCTTTTCTTCACAAATCGATACAAAACAAAATGGCCTTCACATGACCCACTATAACATTTCCCCTCACACCCTAACCAAAGTTAAAATGCGCCAACATTATGTACTTTATATATATATATATATATATATATATATATATATATATATATATAATAATATATAATTCTCTCATTGTTCCACCAATATTGTACTGTGATCAATATGATACCTAAGTTAATACACTAGGTTTTTTAGTTCAACCTTTTTTAAGTCTTAACAATTACTTTTATGATCCTGACTTACTTAATTAAATACTGATATTAAGTATTTCGTTTACCAATACAAGTGTCAAAATTTTAAGTTTATTATGATAATACTCATAGATCAATCATCATGAAAAAAAAAGTTTATTTTGAAACTCAAATTCGAATCTATCATAATTACAACTTTCTTAAAAAAAATTATGAGTGATAAGATAAATATGTACATGAACTATTTATAGGTCAGTTCTTATTAAAAAAAAACTCATGAATTTACTGGAATTAATATTTATAAGTGAAATAATTTAAAAAAGTTATTATAATATTAATAAAGTAAAGTCAAACATAAATATTTTAAAGAAATTATAATATTAGAAATCTCGTACTGTTATTTAAGTATATTTTTTCATCTAATAAATTAGTTTTTGGAGTAGTAATTTCTTGTTGTAATCAACTTCTAAATGCAAAATCTATCCTTTTTTTTTTTCCTAAAGTTCAACTTTTATGTGAAGCTTTGAGACTAGGATTTCTTTAGGTTTAAAGCGTTAGGTGGAATTTTTAGTAACTGTATTTATTATATGGATATACATATTGCGATACAACATATTTAAAGAGTTAAGAAAAAAATTATAAAATATTCTTAATTTGAATAGGATGATTTTTATTTAAAATCTAAAAAAATATGTTATTTATTTATTTATTTCTAATTGCTTTTTATTAAAAAAATAAAAAAATTTATGATATCATATTATTTTTTTTAAGTAATTTATTATTGATTTTATTTTATTAATTTTTTTAATAATTTTTAAAAAACTCATATTTTTCTCTTATTTTTACTCTTTATTTACTTTAATTTACTATTTCATAAAATGGTTATAAAAAGAATTTAAATATCTTATCTTATCACATAAATTTTTTAATAAAAATTACTTTAAACAACTAATACTTTATTTAAACATTTTAATAAATAATTTCTATTTAAGATACTTTCAATTATTTACCAACAAAAATTATTAATATAAAAAAATAATAGTAATGAGTTAATCATCTTATTTAATCTTTTCATACACTTATGAACCAAAGTAATTAAGAGTGTTTAAAAAATAATAAATATGAGAAAAAATTACTAAAAATAATATAAAAGAAATGAGAAAAAAGAAAAGAAAAGAGTCTTATGCTTAGACACTTGGAAGTGTTGATACCTGTACCATTGGAGGTCTAAGTTTGGTTCAGCTGTATCAACAAATGTTGATACCTGGAGCATTTATTCACTAATGAGAGGTTCAGATGATATAATCAATAATACTTTCTCAGCAAATAATTCCCTTGTAAGAAATATTACAAAATTATTAATAAAAAAACCTAGAGACTTAAAAAAGGAAATTTCAAAAATTATTGGAGACTAGACATAACGACACTAAGTGGTTGAGTTAAGCCAAACTCTCTTTTGTTTGGCTTATCCATATTATTACTTTGTTTTTGCATAGGTTTCAAGTTTTTGAGACCATTGCTTGATGGCTGTCTGCACTAATCCTAAAAATTGACACCATGAAATGAAAATTTGGTCTTCAAGTAGCTGGAAAAGCTTGATAAGTCCTTAACCATGAATTTTTATTTGAGCCAATATTGATGACAAGACGATGAACTTGAACAGGGACAGCTAATACCAAATCAGTTTGAAGCCTAATGAGGTAAAAGAAATTAACATTTGAGAAAAGAAGCTGAGTATGATTTTAGAGGTTATTGAAAAATTGAATTGCCTTGAGAAATGAAACTGTCAAAATTAGAAAGGAGGTGCAAACACTTATGTATAATATGGGACCAAGGTAATATAGTTCAATTGCAAATTTTTTTACAGTTTTATTACTTGAAAAAACAATAAAAAAAATCTCAAACAGATTTTAATGATATTTTTCTTAAATGACAATGTAATTAATAAAATTAAATCATGACACGATATTTCTCATATAAACATACATAAATGAGTTCAAGAAAATAATAAAAGAAATTCATAATTATTCATTTGAAACATGTAGAAAAGGACATGCAATAATAGAAAATATCTTACGGACTTACTATTTATTATCAATGAACCAAAGAAGCAAATGATATAATCATGAAATGCTACAATAGGAATCATATTCATGAGTCAGCAGCATCTCTAAATTTTTTTTTTTTCTTTTTTAATGGATGAGGTAAACAATTGTCTTGGTTGTCTTCAATTACTTTTCAAAATGAGTGAAAACAATTGTATGCTAGTGTGATAAAGAAGGTGATAATCAAGGTCTTTAAAAAAAGATTTTATTTGTCATTGTAAATTTCATTATTATGCAGAAATATAAGCAACAAATAAAAATATAAAATAATTTCTCAATACAGTATCCGTGTACTATTTCTTTTATATGGAGTCCATATGAAACTTGAAAAGAATAAAGAATTATTAATTTAGTTTTATTTATTAATTTTTAAAATTAGTTTTAGACATTAATTTTATAAAATTATTTTTGAAAATAAGTTAGAATTTTTTTTATTAAATAAATTCATTTCAAAAATTATTTAAAAAATGTCATAAATAATTATAAAAAGTCGTTATAAAAATTAAAAATTAAATTTTATAATAATAAAAATAAATAAGTTAATATAATTATTAAGTAAAACGTTAATATCCCTTAATAAAAATAAAAAATAATAATAAAATTATTTTTTATCAGTTTTGATTTTTTAATTTTTAAAAACTAAAAAAAGTATTTAAGAAACTATTTTTACAAAATATTTACCAAATAGTTTTTTTTAAAACTAAAAAATTAAAAAATATTTTCAAAGATCATATATAAAAACAAATTCTAATAGATTCAAAATTATTTTAACCAGTTAAACCTCATTAAAGATTGATTATCTTATATAAAAAAAATGAATTCGTTAGAAGATTAATTATTTTTTGGGTTCTTGTAAAGTTTTCTTCTGATTCTCTTTTAGTGTGGTTTGAATTGAAAGCTAAGGAATCCTTGGACGTATAAGATTTCAAAATCTCTTCAAATTTAAGAAGTTATCTATGAGATTTACTCAATGCCTAGTCTTTATTCAACTTTAGAATCATAGTCTTTATTTAACTTTGGAATGATTGTTGTTTGCTTGAAGCTGTGATCAAATTTGTGGTTGTAATCATATGTTAACTCACAATAGCAAGAAAACATAAATAAATAATTACATTTTTGAATGTATATGCTAGAATGTTTAATATTTTGCTAAACTGGTAGTACATCGGATTAGGACAAACACATACTTATTCCTTATCTGATAAGTATACTAACTTTTGAATTTATATATAGGAGTATCATAGATACCCATAAACACTTTTTAATTTTTAAATAAAATTATTCTTTTAATATAACTAAAAAAAATTATCTTAAAGTATAATAAATTTGTTTCAAAAAAACATATTTACTTAAGTTACAACACAAAATATAGGTTTGAATAAAATACAAAATATAAATTTAAATAAAATTAATCTCTATAATAACTTTCATTTTACATATATCTAGAAAATTAAACTCTAAACAATTCCTCAATTTATTAATATTTTCCTTATCAATAATTTTACATTAGTAGTTTAATTCTAAAAAAAAAATCAAATAAGAATCACCAACAATATATATATATATATATATATATATATATATATATATATATATATTTAATTTGATATACTTTTGCAATCTATTAACAAACAAGTAATTTTAATCATGCCCTCGTTACATACAAATATTTGTTACAAATACACATTTTGTATCCATTATAAACTTGACGGAGGCAATTTTTTCATCCCTAAACATATGGTTAAGATTGGTTGAAGGCTAATAATGTGCACTTTCAGAGATATGATCGAGGTTGGTCTCTACAAAGTCAGTAAGTATATGAAGATAAAACCATTTTAACATCAGCCTTTTTCATTTATTATCTTAATCCAATTCAATTTTTAAATTTTGAACTTTTCCTCCTATTTAAAAAGTGAACCTAACAGTTATATCTCATTAGATTATCATCATTGATTTATATTTCCCCTAAGGAATTTCCCTTTGATGCTTTTGCTAGGGAGTTCTACAAGTCTTTGGCTATAATCAAAGCTCCTCTACTTTCCACAAAGCACGTAACATTCACAACATCAGAGCTGTCAGAAAAAGATATGAATCATGGGCAAAGTGGCATTTGTTGCACATGATATGATCTTAGCATCTCAACCTTCATTGGTCACAACATCTAAAGGACAAATCCTTTTGTTGAAACCGAAGAACTCAGAACCCCAAGGGGAATTTCAATCAGTACTTCATCTCTCTTGAATAGATTGTCTCTGAAGAGCCATTCGCTCCGAATTACTCAAATAACACCCATCAGTTAAATTTACCAAGTTCCATCTTCTTCTTGATTGCCCTTTGACCGTGATAAATAAATGAATCTAATATTCCAGAAACGGTAAAAATACCTGTATGATGCAACAAACACGTAAGATTCTGTCGGGATTCACACAAATGAATGATACTTGTCAGTATTCAAGCCAAATTATGCAAAGAGTGCATGAAGAGGAATAGTGAAAGATCCATATATACCTCCAACTATAGCACACACATTAGTAAGAAAATGTAAGAATGAGACATGTTCTTCCGTAAAAGTAACCTGAAAAATGTTATTCAAGTACAATATGTGATCAAAAGGCAAAAAAAAAAAGGAAGGAGAAATGAGATAAAAGAAAAATCCTTGTTGAAAGAAAAACGGAAAATAAAATTATGGACTCAAATATTCCCTATCTCAACATCAACCAAAAATTATGATAGTTACGGGTAAAAGACCCACCTTAATTGGAGAAAGGTCATAGAAGAAAAAAACTCCGGGGAGGGACTGCAGACGGCCCACATCTCCAGTCCTGAAGTGTTCCGTCACAGAGAACTGCCAGCACATTTCTAGTTTGTATTATGTTTCATCAACAAGAATGAAGAAAAATGCCAGAAAGTGACATTTATTAGCTAAATAACCTGATTTGACTGGATAGTATGCCCATTCACGTCAGTGTATACAGTCGGAACAACCTGAAAAATAACAAAATTTGATAAGTCCTCATTAGAAGCTTTTTAATGACATATTCAACATTATTATGGAGCTAAGGGATTTTAATGGCTTGAAGAAGAAAACACAAAAGGTGAACATCAGACCAAAGAAGGGTTTAATACAATAACATAAACAAAGTCCTATCTGAATAAGGTCAAGTATATGGATCACACAACATTTCGACTCCTGTAAAGACCAAAACTACAGAGTTTCTTGCCACCCTATACAGTCCTTTTCTCCACTCCCCCTGATTGTTGCAATATGTACAGCAGAAGGAAACGGAATAAATATTGTATCATACTATTATCAAGACTTTACAAAATTATTATATTCATTACAAATAACAAGCTAATTAAAAAAAAGTACAGGTACAAAAGTGTTGTTAACGACAGTGAATCAGCCATCGTATCCAAATACAAGTCATCACACAAAAACAGAGCACATAGCATGTAGCAAGAAATTGAAAATACAAAACAAATATATAAAAAATGGAAATAAATCAGACCGTAGTTGTCGTGCTTGGAAAGGAAGGGAATGACTAAAACAGCATATACAAACATAACAAAATCAATATATTAGTTTTAAATTGTCCAAGCAAGTGCCGAATTGTACAATGATGGGTGAAACAACAATTAAACAAAAAACTTAGAAGTTTGACAGTGATAGCTGGCATTTCTCATCACCATGTTACATAATTTGTTGACAAAGTTCACAATTTTTATGCGCTGGGATTCATGATGTTCATTGCTCATTAGCAACGAGGGAAAGAAATGTCATCAAGGCATGAGAAGAGGTCCCTCACATAAAAATAAAAGAGCCTCAAAGCAAGATGTGATGGACCCTTTCTCCCCCCACCTCACCAAGAGGTATGCCTTGTTGCAACTTTTAACAAAATTTTATGTAACTGAAACTGAAAAGGGTAAATTGTGGTAACATTGATTTTGTGTTTGGTTAGAGAATAATTCATTTTAATAGAGAATTTGAAATGTTTTGTGATAAAATAGATGGTTTGGATAGAGAATTTTGAAAGATATTGCCTTGATCCAACCCGGCCCAATTCATCATAACTCAACCCAATATGACCTATCTTAACTTATCCCAACCTTATACAAACCTTCCTGATTAAGCCAACCCAACCTATCCCAAACTTTTGATCCAGACCATTGCATCTTAATCTGACTCTTCCCAATCTAGTACATCTGGTCTCAACCAGATCCAACCAATCTCATCCTAGCCCATCTGGTTTGTTAAATCAACCCAACGCAACTCATCCCTACATGGCCCGACATGATCCAACTCATCTATATCCCATTAGCATAACCTAAACAACCCATCTTGACCAAACATAAACTTCCCGACCCAATCCAATTGGTCTCAACCAAGCCCATTCTTACCAACTTGATCTATCCCAATCTAACTTGCCATGATTAGCCTCGTCCTAACCTGACCTGTGTAAGTAAGGGTCTGTAGACCCCAAATCTTGCCCGACCTCAAAATAAAGAGCAAAAGACCTCCAATTCGAAGATGGGCAAGGCCTACAAGGTCCCTCGGATAGACTATTAGGCCCCATGTTAGGATAGGAAGACTTTTTTGTACAAAAAATAAGGATTTCTACCATGAGGGTCAAGACCGCCGTCTCGCTTATCGGGACCGCCGTCTCGCCATTTAGCAAGGTCGAGACCGCCGTCTCGTTTGGCGAGACGGCCCTCTCGCCATTTGGCAAGTCGATACCGCCGTCCCGATTGGCGAGACGGCCGTCTCGCCATTTGTTGAAGACGAGACGACCGTCTCGACCTTGCCAGGTGAGACGGCGGTCTCGACCTGACAGGCGCAAATCCCTATAAAAGGGATGCGCTCCCCCCCTCCATTTCACACAGTTCTTCCACTTCTCCTTCTAGCATTTCTTAGAATTCTTCTTTTAGAGCCCCTCCGAAGCATTTCCGGAGTTTTCTGAGAGTTCTTAGAGAATTTTTATAGCGTTTCGAGAGAGAAAAAGTCAATGTTGTAGAGCGAAGGACTGTCGAAACGCGTCCTAACTTTCAAAGAATTAATCAAAGCTTGCTCCGGAGGTTTCTTCAATCTCTCTCTTATATCGCTTTATTATTTATATGTGCATTAATTAGGGTCATGTAGTCGTTATCTTTTAATTATGCAAATAAAAGGGTAAAAGTGTCATTTTTAGTTTATTTACGAAATAACCGGCCTATCATAGGGAACCTGAAAGGGGCGTCATAGGGAAGTTAATACCTTCCCTACACGTAACTAACACCCTTACCCAACTCTGGCTATAATGACCAAAGTTGGTTTTTCGAAAACCAACACCTTTTTTCCTTTTTTGATGTTTCCGGTAAAAACATCGGTGGCGACTCCATAAGAGCCCCTTCGAAAATTTGCTTTTAGTTTCAGCCCGGTTATTGGACAATCTAAAAGCTCCCTTTCGAAAACCTCGCCCTTGGATCCAGTCCAGTTATCGAACAACCTAAAAGTGTTGTAACCTCACCCATATAAAACGCAAAAACGGGAAGTCGGAACCATCGCGTCGCTCTGACCGCCTCTTTTGACGGCGGCAACAGGGTCAATATTGTAAACTAGGCTTAATTGACAAGTCTAGTGGTAATAACTTTTGTATTTGATAGTAATTGAATTACTCTTTCCAAATTAGAAAATTAAAATTCAATAAATTTAAATTGTCTTATAGAAACAAATCATTTAAAAGATTAAACAATTTAAAATGAAAGAAATTCAATTTAGTGTATTTGAATTTCTTGAAAATAACAAAATTACCTATCCAAACACAAGATGAATTTTGGTTAACAAATTATGGGTTTATTGGGATGAGCTTCTTTATAAGTTGTCTATCGGAGAAAAAAATGAATTTGACTTTTCATAAGATAAAGTTAACATATGCACAAGTTAAAAAAAAAAAAAGAATAAAAAATAAAAAATTGAGAAACTTTCTACAAATTAAGTCACATAAGCTAATTTTAATTTTTGAAGAAGCTAATTTAAAGTTTTCCTCTTATTTTTCTCTTTTAGAAAGAGCTTATGGAGAAGCTCGTCCAAACAAATCCTATATCCCTTCCCAAGCAATTTTGGAGATTACAAAACCCTTCACATATCCCAACTTTGAAATTCTACCACAGATGCATTTTGAATTTTACACCAATCATACAACACAGCCTAATCTGTACAATTTGTATGGTGTAAAATACATAAAGGGGATTAAGTATAACTTCCAAAATTAAACAACAGGTTACTGTAATCAAAACATGGGATGTAAAAACTTTGACGTGGCCCAAAAGAAAGGCAAAATTGTAGCTTATTGTATACTCTGGATAGGCATTGCAACTGCCAATAAAATAGGTGACATGCACAAACGTATGCCTATTCTCCCCTAAATTGAGATAATGACCCACGTTTAATCATTTGAAGATATAATAAGACAGGATATTTGGTGAATGCAAAAACATTCAAGCTAGACATATATTAGATCACCATAACAATGCAATCATTTGGAAACTGCGTAAGTACAGACCATCTTAAACAATAAAATTTCACAATGAAAAGCTTCATAAATCATATTATAATGTCAAACTAGATATAATCACCAATATAACTGAAGATCAAAACTGACATTCACAATTGTTACTCACTTTTGATTCATATAGCTAGTGAAATGTGAAGAAATAACAATTAAATTCATGGAAACATTTTCGTTTATGCAGTAGACAGTGGACATAGAGATAGACACGCAATATTCATCAAGGAAATTATAGTGATTTAAACAACAAAATATTAAAATTTGGAAATTAAATATATGCTTAATAAAATTTAGTATTAGTAATATGTAGAGATCCAGAATGCTAACCTTAATAAAATATTGGTACATCCCACTTGGTGTTTCTTGTCTCCAATGCACACTAATAATCAAGAGAGTCAGAATATATACACAATAGTGAACTTTGATAAACTGTTGACTGGATTTGAAGCTACTAGAACATGAAAAACTCACTTGTCAAGAGGATTGACAACACCAGGGAAATACTCTCCATAAGATAATCTGTTTATGTGGTGGCTTAACTGAATTGCAAGATATAGGCATGTCAGGGTCTTGAAATAAGTGTAAGAAGAATTCTTCTTCCCAAAAAATAATAGTATTATATTATGTTTCATTTGATATTTCATTTAAGCTATAAAATATTGAACTTACAAATAAAAATTTGCAATGGAAATACAAAATAACAGATAATGTCTTACATTAAAAGAATCCTTTTGAAAAGACACAAGGTCATGTACATGTACACCAGATTGCTGAAAGCTTTTCCCAGGGGCAAAATGAAAGTTCCCCGCAACCTTATTTACTTCCAAGAAACCATACACATTGCATCCTTCGCCATCTTCATCCTTGATTCTTTGTAAGAATCCTTCTCTTTTGCACTAAGTGATACATCACATGCCAAATAGGGGCTGGATTAAATTAACAATTTGACTTTGGAAGAAGAGTAATTTAAATAAAAGAGATTGGGCATAAGACAATAATATTAATTGTTGAAGATACAGAAGATACAGCTAAGTAAAATATGATAAGATACACATGCTAAAAATATTGAGGGAAAAAACCTATATAGCATATGTAGACTATTATATTTGAATAAACATGTCCTTACATTTATGTTGAAAATGAAATCACTAAGGAATCCATCCTTAATCCTTTGATAATTCAAATTACTAGTGAAAAATCCTTAAGCCAAACTCTTTCACTGCAATGCTACATTCGCTACAGAAGCAAAATGAGCTCTTTTGGTAGGTTTATTAGTCACATGGTTGGTTTAATGTAACCTATTTCTCCATGGATAGGACTCCAGCTAGAACCAAGAAATATAATGAACAGTTCTAAATGTTGTTGCATGTTCATCTAACTCAAAAGTTAACTTCTTGTATCGTACAAGTTTACAATACCAGCAAGGGAAAACAAGTTAACTCACTTGCAAACTTGTTTCTGTGCAAACTCAGGTTGCACAACAAGCGAGTTTGAGGGTCATTGATCATCAAGTCCAAATGCTGTTGCATGTTCATCTAACTCACAAGTTCACTTGTATCATAAATTTACTCACTTGCAAACTAGTTTCTGTGCACACTCAGGTAAACTTGCACAACTGGCGAGTTTGAGGGTCATTGATCATCAAGTCTGTACTAGAATGATGTCCTGCCTCCAAAAAAGCTCACAACAACAATGTTTTAGTTCTTTTCAAAAACCCAAAATGCAGCATCCTGAAATTTGAGTGCATGCCTTCAACCTCACAGTTGCACAAACTTAACTCCAGATCTGTGTCTGTAATGACCAGACCCAGTTACAATGAATGTGATGAATGAAGATGCAAGCCTACACCGACTCAACCCATTTAAAACAAAGTGATTAAGTCTGCTATGATGAAGTCAATGTTGCAAGCCTGAAAGGCAACATACAGACTAGGTGAACCTAGATCCAACAAGGTGAACAGACGCCTCTCCAACTAAAGTGAATACCAAGATTAACCCAGATGCAATTGTACAAGGGGGACCATTATCTTCTCTTTCAAAAAATTTTAATCCGGTGTCTTGTAATTTGACTATCACTTGTGGACCTTCTTACACTATATTGAGAGGTGACCCCATCATGCGATTGTGATATTACCTATATGCTCTATTTGAGAATTGAGCTATGAACCCAACTTTAGTTTATTGGTTGCTTATAGATAGTTTGAACTTTGAAACTTATGGATCATAGTCCTCAAGGACTTAGTCACGATTTGGCTTGCATTGTTATAGTTTGTTATTTTAGTTTGTTTTACTATAAAATTGTAATGTTGAATATTTATTATGAATATAGTATTACATTTTGTTCCAATATTGTCATAGGTGTTTTAATTATTATCTTTTTAGTTTTATGATGTAGGAGTTTGCAGAAGCTCCATTGCAGACTCTCAAGTTAGACACCTTTACTGTGTGTGTTTAGAAAATTCTACATCATAATGCCAAATTGCATGTGTGCTGATGCATCACGAAATAATCCACAGTTCCAAAAAAAAAGGTCATGTTATGTTAAAGTGTGACAACCAACTTATTGATAGCAAAAGAATGAAGCCAAAATTGTAATGATTGTTTATGGTTAACAGTTCATAATGATAACATCACAATGAAGTACAGAAGGTATCAGTCAGAAAAACTATTTACTTCTATAATGAAATTGAGAAGTAAACCATGCTTCCCATTTTCCGTGTGGCAGAAAGTATTATAATTGAAAAATCAAAATTGCAAAATAATTTTAAATGGATCTCACAAATAGAGTTTCAGATAAATAACCTGGCCTGAAAATTGTGCACTTTTTGAGAACTTCGTATTCACAAATTGAAAGTAAAGTGGAAATTTTCATATGTATCAATCAAATAAAATCATGTGATATGCTTGGGAATAATCTTGAATTCAAGGTCAAGATGTCATAGGGACAAACCTGGTCAATTAAATCTGGGTTTGAAAGTGCCCAACCTTTCTTACGGTATGCTTCACGAACATCCTCACAGGAATTACAACATTCATCATCTGACTGTAAGCATAAATATACACAAGATTCAGGTAAGTATTATATTTATTATGCTAAGAACATTTCAATCAAACCTACATCCAATACCATCATAATGAAGCCTGAGTGGGAAACCAAAGATATTAGACGAAAGGAAGAAAAATGCAGGGGCTTGACTGTTAATGACACATGGTTGAAAATTGGAAATTGTTTATCCAGAACAAATATATGACTACTTCTGTTTTTAGATTCAAGCAGCAGTGAAATAAAATACAAGATTTAATAATCAATGTAGTTATAAATGAACAATTTCCGCTTTTTTCTCTCTAGAAACCAACATCATATACACAAGGCTTAAATAAAAAAATCCATATAAAGCATAATTTTAAACCAGGCATACCGCTTCAGCACCAAAACAGGAACCACAATATGTCTCATTATGCTCAAGCCTGCCTCCGTGTTTTTGCAAGGGCTTTTCAATCTGATCAAATAAGGAGTTAAATGAATAAAATGCTTCAAAAATAAGGTAAGCAAGGAAGGCATAATTTCTGAAATCCATTTTAAGAAGAAATAAACATAAAGAAGCACTACTGATTTAATCTTAAGAAGTGGAAAAAATGAAATAAATTGCATCTAAAAGAAAACAAGATATGTGACTGCTGTCACAAACTCATTTTCTAGAGAAAAAGCTTCTGTTAAATCTGTTTAGTCACCTAGGCCTGCTAAAGCTTAATGTGCCAATCATGGTTTTGAAATATGGTCCACTTCGGCTGTAACTCAATGTTTTTGCGTATACAGCGACCTGACTACATTTAGGCAGCAAGTCGATGTTTTTTGGGTTTACAGCATCCGCAATTGGGGCCAAATCAGCCACATTTCCCCACAATTTCCAGTAAAGTAAAGGGTCACGAAATAACCGCAACCTCAATTTAAAGCCTCGATGTCGGTTACTACCACAGTAACTAACCCTCAAATATAAACGCATGAACTTCAAAAATACATATTCAGACAAACATAATTGTATTGTTTACCTTGGGAGCACCAATTCCTTCTTGCCTCGTTTCTATCACATTGCCGTGAGAGTCTAATCTCTTTTTTATTACATCATGTTTCTGAGAGTTACACAGCATAAGGCAAAAACCATTGTCATAAACCATGAAATTACAGCACCGAAACCAAAACACCAACCTCTGGAACTCGATCAAAATTGAAAAAAAAAAATATCACTTATTTATTTTAATCCATAATTTTAACAATGCATACAACGTCTAGATGCTGCTCTCCGCTGATATCCATGGCATCAAGACTAAGTATGGAACACGGAAGCGCAGGAAACGTGACATCAAACTGCACTTTCAGCATCAAAACGACAACATCAGTTAATTCATAATAATCATTTAAGGAAAAATAAATTAACCAGTAAACGGATAGGAGAGGAAGTTATCGATTACATTGATACGCAGCGTTTCGCCTCTGGAAGTGTCTACAACAAGCTTGGTCTCGGTGACCGCGTGGAGGTACAAACCTGGAGGCAGTGCAAACACGAGAATGAGTTTCGATAACGAAAACAACGAAATAAAAAACAGAACGACGATGGCAGAAGCGTACGGAGCTCAGAGAAGAAGAGCAAGAGCATTAGGATAGAGGAAGCGAGGGTGATGACACCGCCGGAGAGCGTGCGGCTGTAGAAATCTTCGTTGATTTTAGGGTACGCGTCGAGGCTGCGAAGCTTGCTCATTATGCCGTCCATGCTCGAATTTTCCCCAAATCACCGATTATTATGGCGGATCCAAAACGGAAGATCTAAGAACCAATAAACCTAAGTTGAATGAAAATTGAATTGGGGAGAAAAATTGGTGAAAGTGTTCTGAAATGGAGAACACCCCGTTCAATTGAAATTCTTTGGAGGTGGGAATAGTGACGGGGCGTTTCGGATTGAATTCAATTTCCTGAAACTGCGACGCGACTCTGCTAATTTTGCTCTATTTCAACACCGCGTCCGCGTGCGCGTGTTTTGGTTGGGTTGTCAATAATAAAATATTATTGTAGGTTCCAAAAATAAGAGAAAATGTTCTTGTTTTTGTTATTTGTTTTTTCTGCTGGTAACCTTATTTATTTTCTTCGGCTAAGAATTATCCGTCTTTCTAAAACTTGTATTATTTTATATAAACTTTTAACAACTTGTGTTGTTTTTCCTTTTAATGCGTTTTTAACATTATAATTCCTTCTTAATTCATCTTTCTCACGCAACAAAAATTGAAATCATATTCATTTTCATTATATGTAGTAAACTTTTAAATATTATATTTGTTTCATGTAAATTACTTACACCTCCTCACCTCCAATATACCCGTTAATTATTTTATAAACCATCAATTATCTATTTTGATAATATTTTTTAAATATATTTTTCGCAAATAAAAAATAAGATAAAAATAACAATTACACTTTTGAGAACATCTGTATAGAATTTTTTTAATTTAAATTTGGGGTTAAAATTTACCAGACAAATATATATTATTTTGAAAACTGTAAAAAGTTAAAAAAAAATTAATGAAGTTTTTTTTTAATGGAATCAATTTAGTTGATCGTTACAATTTAAAAAAAAAAAGGATGTATATTTATTAACGAAGGTACAATTATCATTTTCCTTTAAACAAGTTTGAGGCAACCAATGTGAACTCCTCTTACCCCAAACCTGCCCCAGCAATCACGAACTTCAGCCCAAATGTCAAAGTAAGATCAGAGCATTGTCTTTGTCCTCTACCTTCCCAATATGAAACATCATGTTTTTGGACTACAAGATACTCAAGCTATCGAGTGATGGTTCAATTCCGCAAGGAAAAGAGCGAATAAAAAAATACTTGGGCTAAATTGAAGATGAATAGCCCATCAAAAAATGAAAAAGTTGCAACATACAAAATTGTGGGTCAAAAGGACAGCAACCCAACGAAGAAGAAAAAAGCCTAACAAAGGGAAAATAAGCACAACCCAACCTCAATTTAATTAAACTAATTTTTTGACAAATTAGGCCTGTAAAAACCACACAAACGTTCCATTTAAAAATATAAAAAAAAATACAAATAAAGACATCAAAACTCACTTAGATAATAAATCTATAAAAAAAATTGTTATTAATAATCAATTAAAAAATAGAGTTCATTAGTTATAACGAGTCTGTTAATAAGTCATTAAAACATAATTGATTAAATTATCACAGTCAATTATTTGTACTTAGATTATACAATCAGATATGGGATAATTAATTATTTTACTGTTATTAATTTATGAGTTTTCAAACTCAAAAATATAAAACGAAATAATTAGTTAAACTAATTACTCTTCAGCCTAATTAACTTAGTTGAATACTCACCTAAGAATTGTTTTGTTCACACATATCAAGCATTATTAATACTGATAACATCAGTAAAAAATTTGTGGGCAAATGTAAATTTACTTAGGTTCGTGAGATTTGTTCTCCAAAATTAAAGAAAAGTAATTTCAAATTTTTATTTCATTTTATTTTACGACAAATATAAATTCTGTAAAAATTGCAACAATAAAGAATATTAAATGTTAGTTTTATTTTTGTGATTTATTAGCCTAATAATCCCTGAACACTTGCTACCCCTTACTTACCCTAAAAAATTGTTTATCTTCCACCTTCTTTTTCTTTAAGTTTCACTAAAGAAATTAAGGCTTTTAATAATATATATTACATTAGTTGTAAAATTAGAGAATCAAATTAAATTAACCTCAATTTTAAAAATCATTGACAAAAATTTTTGTTACAGTAGTTGAGGTCTAATAAAATATAATTGAAATTCTTGAAGGCATAAGTAAGTATATATATATATATATATATATATATATATATATTTATAAATTTCCAAGTTGTCGGTTGAACCAAGAGCTAAGGAATTACTTCTTTGTCATTCTAAAATATTTTGTTCCAGTTTCAATAAATAAAGTTTATGCTGGCAAAATAAAAAAATAAAATATTGTAAGGTTCTTCCTTTGTGTTTTGAGAAGTTAAATATTTTAAAAGTGGATGTAATAATTTGAGACATTTATGAAACTATTTTTCTTTAAAGGGAACTGAACTTGGCAATATTTTGCAATAAGTAAATGGAAATTATCCTTATCTAACTTGACTAAGATTACTTTTTGAAAAAAGAAAAGTACACATGATGATTAAGAAAAAGAGTTTAAATATAAAAGAGTTTGGATGATTTGTCTTAGACTCTATTATTGATTAAAGAACATTCTGTGAGACAATTAAGAAGTGAAATAATATCCGAAATTCTTCAGCAGTCCATTTCTCACTAAAAGTTATACGGTTTGTAGGTATGGAAAGGTAAGGTGCCAACCCATTGAAGCATTTTCTTTGGCATTGTGTAGTCACCAAAGCTAACTGCTTCCTCGTTATGGCAACATCTGTCCCATAAGAAGAACTGACTCAATGCATTCTGGCCCAAAAGCCTCATGATAATGCTCACTCACTCATTCATAAATCTACCTATCTTTTAATTTATCTAATCTTCACTTTCTATTGTTTTAACAACATACCATGACCCCAAGGGCTAGATAGCAGCAATAACCCTTTTATCAAAATCAAAACAACCACCACATGCTCCCTCTAACACCAGAAACTACTCATAACTCCACATAATCCAAATATTCAATACTACCAGTAAACACCCCTGTTATTTCACATTGTACAAAGTAAACTCAAAAGTAAGATAGAAAAGTCATAAATGTATTGGTATATTCTTTCCATTATTTTTAACAAACTATTTATTAATTCATTAATTATTGTTCTAGAGACCATGATTAACAAAATTAATACTCAAATATACTATGTAGGAAAGGTTAAAAATATGCTCATTCTTCGAGTGGGGACCATTGGATCGATGTCCTTCATCAGAGAGAAGACAGGTCTATGGAGATCCATTATTGAGTATCTCTATGGCAATGGCAAATAATGCATTACAGAGAGAACCATATGCCTTGTAGCTTGCTAGCTAACTTAATTATTAAAGCACACAACAGTACTTGACTAATAATTAAACTAGGAACAAAAGTTGTTGAGGTCGCATGAGTATTATATGATGGGAAATGTGAAGAAGGGTTTAGAAACATACCACAAGATGGGTTTTGTTCTTTTAGATTATCAATATATAAATATAGTTTTTTGGGTTATGTTGATAGAGAAAATATTTTAATTAGCAATAATACTACTATGAAGGGTCCTTTTCTTTTCTTTTTCCTCCTTTTTTATTTCTCAGGTGTGGTCTATTGGGAGCAAAAAGGTCACAACTGAAAGGCACTCAGATATTCTGAATGGCCTCGATAATCACCCATAAGAGGAAAAGAGTATGTAAGGAACTAATAATATTATTTGCATAAATTTTCTCTCTCACAGAAATCATGTAGGAGTATGTGTATGATTGACAGATTCATGAGTGCAAGGTGTTGGATTTTGGCAAAATATCAGAGCTACGAAGGGTTGGGTTAAATGTGTTAAGGAATGCCCATTTTCTACCAATAATTGGGGCTTCTAAGGCTTTGCATATTTTATTTAAGGCACCAATGATGAAACTGAATCTAGTGGCAACCTTTCTTTACACGTACGAAAATGAAGGCCAGGGTTCCAAGGTTTGGAAACATGTTTGGTGTCCCCATTATGAATCCCCCCTCGTGTCTTCTTCAAATCAAGCACTTTGAGTGGATTCCAACTCCTCCTCAACCATTTATAAGATTCACCAATTAGTGGATTTCCCTTTCACGCACCTAACCCTTTGAAAACAAGCCATTAAACTAGAAATCAGATCTCTCGCATTGCTTAAAATATTACTGTTTTCAGATACCAGCCTGATGATATTTGATCGAGGTTGGTTCTGTCAAATCAAATCAGGATGCCCAATGGCTAACATCTCTTTACCAATTATAATTATCTGTCTGGGTTCAATATCCTAATTCAACAAGGATGGGGCTATCAATAGTTAATTGTAGGGTATGTTAGGAATTAGGATCATCAAGATCAACCAAAGTGTTTCTTTTAATTAGTTTTATTATCCCAGATCTTACTCCTTTATCTTTATCAGAAGCAGTCTTAAAATATATAGTGAGGATCATAAAAATATATATACCTGAGTCAGATTTAGACTTCCAGCCATCTTATTAAGGCTTATTAAAATTAACCATTGTGCCTGTGTCTTTTTCTAACTTTGTCTGACAAAAGGGTGAATATAGATGCCCTGTATACAAGTTGGGAGGTACAGGACCAAGCAGGTTTATGTACTGTGAAGCTGAGACTATAATTGTCAAATATCTTCTTCAAAATGACCACCCTTTGTTTGGTAATGGCGTGACCAACTCATTTCACGCATAGCACCTTGACCATAAGAATAGGGTGGTTGGCAATAATGGAAGTAATTTTAAAGGGCTTAGTGATTCAATGGTGGGACTTGGGTTTTAGCATAGGGTTACTTGTTTGAGTACGTTAGGCGTGTAGCTTGTATAGTAATGCAAAAATGTGCACAATTGGAGTAAGGAAAATGTGGCCAAATAGAAACATGAATAATTGCTAACCAAAGGTGGCCATCACGGTTTCTTGCCAGCTTGTGGTAGTATCTATCTATGCTCCCACCTAAATTTTGAAATTTATATCTTCGAACAACTATTACAAGGTCATTAAGATCAGCGCAAAGCATGAACTACATCGCTTTCGGTGTTTGTTTACACAACGTGGATTTTAGTCATAGTTGAATTGTGAGGTTATCCCTATTTCCCACACATGACTCGTGATGATAAGGATATGTTTGCATGCGAAACTGACGGACTAGTTCTTTTCACAAGAGAGATCCATCTCCACACAACCTTATAACTATTTTATACTGCAGTATATTGTTCACACCAATTTATATACTTAACAAATTTCGAACTCAATAAACATACACTGAAAATTATGATTTTCCAACTCAATTAGCCACTCACATTTGTGTCAGTGTTGGCATGTCCTCCTAAAACGACAAAGCTCCCAATTATTAAAGCTCCTACCATTTCTTTTCGGGATAAATCCAAATGTCAATACAATTTCTACACGCGTGTACTTCTTAACCAGTGAGTTCTATTTTTCCTGCATGACAAGAGGTATCTTGACAACTGTATTCTTATATACAGCTGTCACTACTCTTGTGAAAGATTTATCTGGCTCAGATTGTGGAAATGTGGGTAGAGAGACACCAAGTTCAAGATTTCACATGCTTTTCGTTTCTTTAATTACTTTTCTTTAGTCTGCACCTTCACTTAATTGGCCCAGAGACTAATTAAGCTACTGTTCTTTAGTATTATATACGCATAAAGGAACCCGAGAACACTACTATCCATAAGTTTCTCCACTTATAATAACTATGTCACATATATTATTCTTGTTTCTCACTTACTAACCCTTATTAAGGAGCTTAAATTTATTCCAAGATCGAGATCAGAATATAAAATTCGACAGAACAATCACCATAACCGAAATGTTGAGAACAAGTACAATGTGTATCTACATTTTTTTTCTTTTTTGGTTTGGTTTATTAGAACAAGATATCCAATATTAAATTTAAATCCAAAATTTACCATTCCTTGGTTGAGGGATGTGCTACTTGCAATATCAATGCATGGCTTAACCTAACAATCAGAGTTCGAACATGTTGCTTTAATTTAATTAAGAAGTTGTTCTATTATCTTCCGTGTTTTTTTATTTTGGCAAAGTAACCTTACCGCACAAAATTTCATACGCATTTGTCATTTATATTTCTAAAGTTGTGAATTATATATAACTTCTCTGCACAATTTCATGTAGTATACTGCTTTTATGCATTAGTTAATTTCCATGATTCATCAGAACAACATTATTCACGTAACATCTTTTTGCACCAAGTTAGGTTAGAGTTTGATTTGAGGTTTGCGTTCCTAGTCAAAGGGAATTATTATTTTTTTTCTTTCAATAAAAGCCGTTTTAATTTTTTTTTGCTATAAAGTCATTTTGCACTTGTGATTGTCTAAATCACCTTTCTAGTTGAAGTTTGTGATTTTCATACGATAAGTACAGTTGAGAGAGCAAGAAGGTTGACGCGCCATTCGCCATTCGCAATTGCGGCATAAAACATCAGTTCTTTCACTATCCGCATGCGCATGCAAACGTGTGAAGGAATAGATTACATTTGAAAACAAAAAATTAAACCCCCAAAAAAAAAGAGAGAGAACACAGCTATTTGAACTTTGTCCCTCCCTAAAACTTTAAATTATGGAACACACTATTTCCTATTTCCAACAAGAAAGGGATATAATTGGAACCACCCCTTGACCAAATTCTGGGTTGGTGTCAATTTCCCTGAACTCATCAAGAATCTACAACTTGTGGTATTGGGTACTCGTTCTTTTCCACTCCACCAAATGCCGCAAAAACTGCCCAACCTGTGAACAAAACATGATTTTGTTACCTGGAATTCATTGTTAATATGAAAAAGATGTAGATAATAATAATGCTTGAATATAATAATTAACGTTAGACATTGATCATACCTCAGTTGGATCTTGCAAAGTGTAGGAAGCATCCGTTTCTTTTGGAATTTTAGAAACAAGAATCCCAATCCCTTGGCCCCTCTTCCGCAAAACCTGATTATATTACATCCAATAAATCAATAAGTTAGAACAATAATTATAATAATAGGTGGAATATACTAACACAAATTTTAACATATATAACAAGGTAGTGGCATTTGTTAATATTACCTTAAAAGCATCTTCGTCAGTTCGATCATCACCAATATAGATTGGAAATACATTATCAGAGTTAGCATATCCTGGAAATGCAAAAAATGAAAATAAAAGTTAGGACATGTGTATGACCTTTATATTTGAAACAAAAGAAAGGGTATTTATGCATGAACACTTACCTAGTGATTCTAGCAAGAATTCAAGGGCCTTGCCCTTGTCCCATTTTACGGTTGGTCGAATCTCGAGCACTTTTCTCCCTTCAGTTAGCTTAAGTTTGGGATAGTCGCTGATGACCAAGCTAACTTGTTCAGCCAATGATGCCCAACTCTGAGTAAAACACGAATAAAACAATGATAATTAGATATAAAACAAAAATATGAGCCGTCAATTATAACGTGTCTTGTGCGTGTGGAAGTGGTGTGGGAGGAATTAAATATTTCGGTGAATGTTGGTACCTTTTCGTCAACACAGCGAAAGTGCACGGACAAGCAAAACTTGTTATTTTCTACCTTAGCCCCCGGGACAGGCTTTGTTTTTTCTACCAAGATGTTGTACACCTGACCCATAATAGAACAATGATAACGGCACAGTTAAAATCGTGTGCAAGTGTTGAGCAAATGATGAGCCAGGAGATTCATCAATTATGTGGTAGTTAAAAGAAAACAATAATCAACCAACCTCATTGATCATGGGTAAGAATTCACTCGCGGGTTGGAAGAGTACTTGTTCGTTTCCCTGAAAGAAAACAAAAAAAATACGAATCTATGATGAGAGGGAAGGACACCATGATAAAAATCTTGGTTTCATAAATTTGGTTATGGAAACTTTTTCTCACTTTCTTAGTACTTCGCCTATTTGTTGGCCCCTTAATGTCCATCCCATGGCTCCCAGCATAGTACAGTTCTGCCAATCTCACAAAGTTATACACCTAAAGAAAATATTAAAAAAATGAAGAAGAAGCTCCAAATTAGTTCTGACAAAAACAATAATAATATTTTTTTCAGTTTTTATTTGAATAAAAAAAAAATGTACCTTGTCTATGCACCTTCCACTCACGATGGCAGTGGGGAAATGCCTTGCTATGTCCTTCAGTGTGGCCCTCATCTGATTCATTTACAGAAATGAAGAAAGAAGGGGAAATCAATTTCACTATTTCCCTTATTCTTAACAATTTGAAGTTAGTGAATAAAACAAGAGAGAACAAAAGGTGTACCTTTTGACTCATGTATGCTTTATCTGGGTCTGCAACAATTGGGGAGAGAGTTCCATCATAGTCAAGAAAAGTGACAATCTGCTTCCCTTTGGACTCACATACAATCTGATCAAACATGTTAAGTGCCGAAGGGTGGTAAAGCTGCACAAAGTTTGCGAAACCGAACAGAGTCAAGTCACACATAATAAATAACACCAAAAGGTTCAATTTCAATCACACCATGTCATGAAAAACAAGGCTTTGTGTTTAATGCTTACAGTCCAAGGACTCGGGTCTTGGTTTTGTGTGGATTTGACTCGAGTCGGAGAAGAAGCTCTCATTGAATCAATCAATGTGTTAACTTTGTGGCCTCCTTTTCCACTTCCATCCTCCAAAGTTTTCAATAAGAGCTTTTTCTGGGGTAGGCCTAAAACCCCACCAAGCAAAGCCATTATTCCAGGCACAGCAGCTCTTGGTAGAGCACTTGAGTTAGAAATCGACATTGCCAACTCCACAAGCGTGTTATTCACATTACGGTTCGTCATTCTATACCAACACCAAGTTTAACAATAATAATAATAATAATAACAATAACGATATCAATAGTAAGGAAAAAAAAAATCTGTGGGATTGAGTGAATTGAGAATGAAAAATAGGAAGAAAGGTCACGGGGATATATAGAGAGAGAAGGCAGAGAAGAACAGAGGAGAATGGTGTGATATATTATGTGGATGCTTCCTCTGATTAACGTGGAATTTATAGTGGAAAAAAGTTTGAATAAGAATAAATTATATATAAAAAAATGCATTCGCTTTCTACTCGTTCGTTCAAGTCACGTATAAGCGAGGGGTGTGTGGTCAATTCATAACTTCGGTTACACGAGCAAAACCGACGAAACTATCACCTCTATTTCATTGCCCTTGTACTTCTCAGTAACTATACTAAATAAGAAAGTTGGAGGGACCACAATTTTAAGTTTTTTTTTTTTTTTTGGGAAGAGTTTTTACAATAATGAGCAACTTTTACTGATAAGTTGTTTCATAACCATTTTGCCACTAACTTGCTTTATCATATTCTATTAAGGTAAATAGCACCTTGCTTTTATGATTTCTTTTACTAAAAGTAAGACAAATAATAACAAGTGTTTTCAAGACACTCGTTAAAAAGAAATAAAATATTTTTTTATAGAAATACATATATATATATATATATATATATATATATACACGTTGTTCAATTTTTTTTAATATATTTCTATATAATTTTAAATGTTTTTGAAATTTCGTAATTCCCCAACACACTCGTTAATAAGATGTTAAAAGTAAAATAGAATAAAATTATAGTAAGAGTAGAATATAATTAAACATGATTATGTAATTATCTTTTGACCAACAAAATTGAGTTTAAAAGGGTTGGTTTATCACAATATAGTGAATTAAGATTCAAAGTTTTATATATATATATATATATATATATATATATATAAAAAAGTATTTCATTTTGTTTTTGAACCATTTTCTTAAAAACGAATCGTGTTTAAAATGCTACCAAACACTAAATAAGTACATACATTCCTTAACTAAGATTCGATCTTTTGATTTATGTAACATTTAAAAATTTGACCGTTTACTATATGCTTTTGAAAATGATACCTGTGAAACAAAAACACTATTTATGCATTATTCAGGAGTTTTTTCCTTAAAAGAAATAACCACTGGCTGAGAGTATCAACCGAAGGAGGAAAATAATCCCATGTAAATGGATAATTCAGGATTTTATTCAGATTCTTTTAGATATTGGAGCAAAGCACTATTTACCATTTTTATGGTTATTTTACAACTTGTTATTCTTAAATGCTATTTACAGGGTCTCCTTTTCACAAAAAGACACCAAAGAGCCTCTTTTAAAATTTTCAATTTTCCTTTACTTAAAGGAACAATGGCATAATTACCATGCTTAACACACATTTTAGGCATGCATTTGTAGCCACATTTTATTTTTCTTTCCCTCCATTACCTTCTCTTCCACAACGACCTTTCTAACCCCTCACGAAAGGTAAAACTTCAAACATGTTGAATTGTAACCACATTTTTTTTTCCCATTTTAATTTTCTTGGGTTACAACTTCAACAGTTTCCAAACAAATTTCGGCACATTTTTATGTTGTAACATAATTTAGAACGTAGGTACTAAGAAACAGAATCGCAGAATGAGTTACCACACTCGCCCCTTGTATAGTTTCACGGAAATAAAAAAACAAGCAGCTTCAACCTAACTTGTATACGATAAGCTTCAAAACCAGCGGCACAAAATAATTGTTTTTCCTTCTTTCTTTGTTTATTTTTCACCCATCACAAGTTGTATTAATGATAAGAATTCCTTCATGCACGTGCATAATTTTCATACGGTAGTTCAAAATTTAGTAGAGTCGGTTATTGCTCTTTATGTATTTACATTTCATTTGTCTATCCAAAAATTTCCTAGAGTTATTGGCCTCACATTAACTTTAAGACGCCTACCTAAAATATCTATATTAGGTGCTAAGAAAGTACGTATTTAATGGGAAAAAAAAAAAGCTATTCTCTGGAGCTTTATGAGTGATTATAAAAGGGTAAGAAACAAAATATTTATCTTGTGCGTGACTAACAATGACATGTAGTCGTAGGAGAATCGAAAGACATGAAAGTGAATTGTGATGCGAATTTAATTTTCTACCATGTATTCGCCCCTTTCAGATTTTACGATTGGCTTATGATTCTGCTCCATTTTAAAACTACTATGTCAGTAATGAAACATATACTTTGGGTTGCATGTCCTTATTTTAAGTACATTTAGTTTTAAAACGTAGATTCAGAGGTTGAAAACTTGATAGGGAGTAGTAAATTTCTTCAACCTAATATGTTACGCATTACTTTTTGAGCAATTATTGTATTTGTACAGTAAATTTGGACAGTTATCTATACATAACCTGATACTAAAAAAAAAAAAAAAGACAGCTGATGTGATGATAAAAATATATCCTATTACCAAATTAAAATATATAAGTTACATGATGTAATTTTAATTTTGTTTTTATATTTATCATTAATGGAAAATGTAAATGTTATTTATTAAACCAAACAGATAATTAAAATAATTGTAGTCTTATTGTGAAATATTTAAACTAAAATATAAAATGTATAATCCATAAATAATTGTATATTTTAATCACCTTTTAATTTTAAGCATTGGTGCATATGCAAACTTTTTTTTCTTTTGTACGGACAGTGCACCTGTAAACTTCAAGAAACTTCCTCTCGTTGAAAATCAGATAATTATGTTATATTCAGTTGTTTTTATTGTACAATTCTTACTAATGTACATTGACTCTCTTTTTGTATATCTCATTTTCATCTAGCTTCCTTTTACATATCATTTATCATATTTTTTTTACTTTTTCTAATTCCTTATTTTCTCTTTAGGAATTTATTTTTAACCCATAAAAAAATAGGAGTGTCTTTAAGTTTATTATTATTATCTTTTCTATTTATCTTTTCTTTCAATTCTAATATACCTAAAATGGAGTATACATTTACAATTTTCTTTTATTATATTGCATCCAAAATGGTCTATACATTTACAAATGTCCATTATTAATTGTATCTAGACCATTCTTTTGTGTTGTAAAGTAAAAGAAAAACACTTGTCAGCACACCTTTTTTCTATGCCCAAACAAAATAGTATAAAGTACGAAAAATAAATTGTAAGAAATAAAACATCTTTGAGTATAAATATATGTCGCTACTTTCATTTCGATATTGATATGATAAGGCACATTTATACCCATTTATATATCTTTTTTAATCTGAAATATATTTTATATTTGAAAAGTTTAATTTAAGTGAGTCACTTAAATGAACATATTTTTTTCCTAATCTCTATATTTTGTTAATCCAATGGTTGAATCAAAAGAGCTGTTAAAAATAAAGTTCCTTATTACTTGACAAGTCTCTTTCATCCATTTACATGTGACAACCTTCTATTTGCCTTAACTTTGATCGTCTTAGATATACTCTTTTCATAGACACTTGAAATCTTATATATTAAGTATACTAAATATATTTACATTTTTTTTATAGTTTTTCTGTAAATAATAACTAAAATATATTATTATCTAGGAATAATGCATTTATATATATAATTATCAGATTTTAGACTCGTCCTACATTATTTCTAAACCTACAATTAAATAATGCATCCTTCTAGAAGAACAAAAATGAATAGCACATACACCTAAGTCCTTTTCTTTTTCTTTTTCTTTTGATGATCTGAATTAACAATTAATGGTTGAACATATGCAATTGTTTTTTTTGGGGGTACATTGAATAATGATTAAATTAATTTGCACGTTCAAATTCATATAATATACGAAAACTGGACCTAACCTTCCTAACTGTGACTCTTTGTCAAAAGCATTGTATCTCTCATAAATAAAGTATATGGAATAAGCCAACCGACCCAAAGTCCTTTTGCATTTGCTATAACTCTTTGGGGATTTGAACATCCAACCATTTATGTCTCCGTTGCTTAATCAAGTCCTTGAGCATGATAGAAGCTTGTTTACTTTTTTTCTCCTAATTAAATTTGCTCAAGTTTTAATTTATCACATGCTTATACTATTTTTTGCATATAAAATTTAATATCTAATCATTCTTAGTTCCCCTTTCTTTGAATTTTTAAATGATTTCTATACATACAATGTTAATAAAATATATATATATATATATAAAGTCCTATATATTTGTGTATTGCTTTGTCTTGCTCTTTAATATCTACTGACTCATGATCTATGTTCAGTCAAAACTCAAAACTGGTGTGCCTTGGAGATTCTTCCAAGCAACCTCCATGTGAATGGAAACTACACAAATTTGAAATCTTGGGTGTTACTCTTGTTTGTTTCATGATGATAATAATAATTTTATTTTATAAAAACTAAACAAAGGATTGTCAAAAGAAGTTAATACCCATGTTTAAAAAGCACTGCAGATCCTTATATTCTTTAACTAATAAAAACTATTTTGGTTAGATGCAAAGTTTTTCTTTAGCAGAGACTTCACACCAATATGTATCATTTATTCGAAAAAGAAAATTTCCAATGACGTAAAACTATATATATACGTCAAAATTTCTTTTCCGTGTATATTTAATACAACACAAATATTCATGAAATTCGAAACTAGCAATTAAATGAAACATCTTATGGTAGTTAAACATGTGACGTTGTTAATAACATAAACTTCTAGAACCGATGATTCTCATTTTATTTTATTTTAGAACAGTAATAGTAATTTGAAACCATTAATGACTAAAATGATTGTGTTTAAATGGATTGTTTGAAAATGTTGAACTTCATTTCACGTGGAGATCCTTAGAAAAGGCTATTATTTGTCTTGAGAAACAGGGTTTAGTAGCATAATTTATATTAAAATTAGAGGGACAGAGAAGGAACATGGTTGAGTGAGCATTATTCTTGAAGATGATACAAGGTTTTACGTGGTTTGGAATTCCCTGGTAGTGATGAGGGAACATACCAGGTTAGCAGAATATGAACATGGACACAATTTAGGTGAACCAAACTGCCATAACTGCTTATGATATTGCAAAGACGGTGGACTTTTGGAGTCGTTTTGGAATCAAATATTTGTCCGTGTTAGAAACGAATCAAGAAAAGTCAAATAATCTGACTAAGCTAGTTTCTGTGGTGGTTCCGAAGGAAATTAAGAAATGGAAAATTGGTTTGGAAAACGACAAAGGAATTTTAGCAAGTAGGGTGCTTTTTCCCTAGTACGTGACTGGGTTCTTATGTGTAAATTTCCCAGTTGCCCCCCCTCTTTTCTTGTCACCATATAAGAAGTGTTTTGGGGGAAAAAATTAAAAGGATTGGTGGGAAAATGATGGGATTGATTTGACTGGTTCCTTCGTATATGGGACCCCTAAAAGCCATGAGAGGAGTAATATGGGCACGTGTATTCACCGTGGCCTTATTGCAGTTGGGCCACTCCTTCACCTTTCATACTTCATCCTCCATTCCATTCCCCCTCACCTTCTCTTTCTCTCTATGCTGCTTTCTTTTTAGGGTTTTCTTTTCTCATTTTTCTAATCATCACATTTTCCTTTTTTTACTGTTCGGAGCAGATAATTTCACTTCTAGAATCGCTCATCAATGGTGAACATTAAAAGTTATTCGATACTTATATATTACTGTTTAAAAAGTTATATGTATCTTTTTATTTATTTTTTTCTTTTCTCACTGTATATACTATTTATTATTTTTATCACTCACCACAATAAAACACAAAAGTATTTCTTTGATGCTCTCACTTCTATCTATTTAATTATATATAGAGTGTGGAGATAAGAATTTTTAGTTATTGTTAAAAATAAAAATAATACATGGATATTACAAATGAAACTAGGTTGGGTTGAATAAGGTTTTATATAAATAATTGGCTTGTTTAAAATATTTATTTCCAGACTTTATTGTTATTTGTCATAAGCTTATTTTAGGTCAATTCTTATTTAAATTTTTTTCTTTTTATTGACCTATTTGTTTGTTTAAAGACTTATTTCGCATTTAAGTGTTGATATAAATTTGACCTGTACCACTAAGAAAAATACACGCGAATAATCTAATAATATTTTTAAGGTCTAACATGACTGTCACAGTAACCTGATTAGAACATCATTAAATAATATTTTATTCATTCAATTAAAGATGATTTAATGATTACAGTTTATATCGTTCACAATAAAAATATTTTCACCAAATATGGTCCTTGTTGCAAAGAGAGAGAGAGAGAGAGAGAAAGAAGAACAGATATTTGACATGTTATATTTTTTAAAAGTTATGTGTGTGCATGTATATATTTAATGTGTGTTGAGATATATGTAGTGACACTACTGCAAGAAAGATATAACAATAGTCAAATTTAGGATGATAAATCAGTTGTATTTGACAGGCAACTAACCCCTCTCCCATTGAGTGCGTCCAATTGAAGTGAATGTTTTGAAACGATATTTATTACAAGAAGATAAACGATGAAATGTAATCGTTATTAAAATTGAATAAAGGGAAGATATAGACATGTAAAGAAAATGAAACAGTTTATTAGAGGATTAGAGTTAGGAAATCCAAGGTTTGATAGATTCGAATTTGGTATTTGAATGTAACTTTTGCCCATCCTTTTTGCCGTCCAGTCGAACAGGATGGTTGGCATGCATGTATTGACCATAAACTCCTTTGATATTTTATGCCTGATATGCCATAATGCATGAACCTCTTTGGGTCAAGGATAGAATCTAATGCTTCAAAACATTCTGTGCTGGTATCTTTCAAAATAATGAGAGGTTCCTTGCTTAGGAAATGGAAGTTATGGTAAATAGAATAAAGTCTCAATTTTCATAAAGCTTGATCTCGATCGTTATACTCTTCTAGCATAAGGCATCTTTATGTTTTCCTCAGTTTTCTTGGTTTAAGTTACAGCACAAGTCCCATTCAAATTACATTTTATACTTATTTCTATATTCCAATCTTTTTTCACGTTGGAAAACTTTCCACACCACAAGTAAGGCTGCATATACAACTGCTGACGGCCTAACATCCAAAGAATACAAATAATTACTTGTATTAGGGTTCAAAATGGAATCCATCCAACAATTAAATTTTAAAAATAAAATTAAAAATTAAAATATTATTATAACAGCACATTCCACAGGTTTAAATTGAAATTTAATATATTAAAATTATTAAATCATTAGTGACAGATACGTAATTGCTATGACTAAACTATTTACCAAGTCTTAGACATCACCAATGTGTAAAGACGTCATGGTTGTAGCACACTTTCTAATGTGCTTATTTTAATTAGATGGAAGAGTAATATTGATGTTTTTTTCCCTTAAATTAAGGAATCAAATCAAACATTTAAAATATAAATAAATGAAATTGATTTTTATAAATAAATACATAAATTTAAAATAATTGATCTAATAAATTTAATATATATATATATATATATATATATATATATATTTAAATCTATATATTTATGTTTTAAAACGATTTAATTAATTTTAGGAAAAAAGTTAGTAGAATGAAATTTTATCTAATTGTATAGGCCTTCTTGTACTACAAGTATATGCTTCAATTTTTAAGTTGGACAGAATCTAAAATTATATAAATTAAAACATAATAAAAAAATCATATATAAGAGAAAGGAGATATGGAAAGAAGAAAATGTCTTAGGAAGATATTTTAAGAAAATATAATATATAGTTGTAAAAATGCCCAATCCAGTCTATTTGGGTAATAAAATTTGGTAATCCAATCTAATTTATATTTTTTAAATGACTTATAATTAACAGATTATTAAACTAATTTTGATCTGATTAAAAATTAAAAAAAATATTAATATATCTATATAAAAATAACTAATTAATAAATATTTATATAAAACATAAAAATATATTTTAAAAATTTAAATTATAATAATAAAATTAAATTTTATTTTAAATATAATAATTTAATATATAAATTATAAGAAAAAATATTTATTTAATCTTAAAATAAGAATTACAAAATGATTTTTTATTATCGTTATCCATTTTATTGATTTAAATAATAATTCATTTTATTTATTAGAGTATAGATATTAAAAAAATTATATTTATTCTTAAAATAAGTAAATCTATTATAAATTAATTTATAATATATATATTTTTAATATAATATTATTATTATTATTTAAATTTGAAAAATTATTATTATTTTATAAAATGAACTAAATTATAAATCTACATATTAATTTGACATGCATGAATAAATAAATAAAATGTCTCATTTTATTTAAATAAATTTTTAGTTTATTGTGACCTATTTTTTAGAACCCTCTATCCAACTAATCTTATTTTGATACTTAATAACAAAAAATTGAAGCGTGTGACGTACAAATGATTGAAAATTAAATTATTAACAACACGAAAATAACTCATTTTAACCTACAAGCATCACGAGAACTTAGAATATTGAATGATTTTAAATTTCAACATTATTATAGTGCACAAATATAATACTTCTAGAGTATAAATTCTACCTACTTACTGCCTTTAATATCTACGAGTGGTTATCATCTTTGTCAACTTTCAACTTCAGTCTCCAGTGTTGATTTTTTTTTCCTTGATTATTCAAATCCTCAATTTGCCAGTGTAAAAAAAAAAAAAAACTTCTTACATCCTTTAATAAAAAACTAATGTTTTAAATTAATGAAAAAGATGTTTAGCAATTGTAACACTATTATAAAAGAGACCACAAAGACCATGCTAAATCGTCGTTTTTTCAATGTAATAATAATTTATTTATTTTTAATGATACTGTATTTATAAGTGTGACTATATATCATATAAGAAAAATGTTTAAAACTAATTATTGTTGTATATAAAAATAAAAAAAAATTTATGATAATTTTTTATAATCTCATTGCATACTATATTATACTATATTATATATATATATATATATATATATATATATATTTATTTATTGCGAATATCTCTAAAATGCTCGATGTCATTGTCAAGAGAACAATGAAAAATAAGATTCTAAAAAAACATATTTAGATTATAATAAGAAAACTTTTGCTAAACAAGAAGTTGGAAAATATTATATATTATATTAGAAGTTGAACCTTGTTATGCTAAAATAATAATAACAATAATAAAAAATAAAATTTACTACTAATAATAATAATTTATTGTCATAAAAAAGGGATTTTAACATAATAATTATCCTTGTGTTGATAACATATAATAATAGATAAAAAATAGTCATTAATTTTATAATTAGTAATTATGATCATAATAACGAAAATTTTAAAATAAATGTTGTATACTTTTTAATCATCATAAAATAATTTGTGTGCACAAGTGTTTGGATCACATTTTGTTTACAAAAATATTAATATATAAAATATTATACTTAATATTTGGTACTTATTAGCTTATGTAGTTAAGTTACTCAAATACACATTCATACCTCGTATTTCTTTTTTTTCATATTTCCCCCACTATCCACAAATTTATGCTTCCTCTTTTCTTTTTTTCTAATCAAAACCACCACGAACATGGTTATCTTTATATTGATGGAAATGAAAACGAAAGAGTAGTTTATTACTACACAGATATTATAACAGCAATCAATTATGATATAATTGATTATTGAAATAATATAAGTTTGATAATGGTGTGGAAATGCAGGGTAATAAAATTAAAACAATGATTTATCTGATAGGGGTTTTAACCTAGTTAAAAAGGTTGGGTGAAATGGAGAATTTTGTGAGATGGTTGTAGAAGTAGGGCGAAGCGCCTAGCCTAACTGCATGTCACCTGAACTTTTGGGGTGGAATAATGCGATGCAATGCAACCCAATTAGTCGAATGGAAAGGACAGTATGCGAAAGCACATATAATAATAAACATCAAGTAAGTAAGTAAGTAACTGAAAAAACCGCCAGCCACCACTGAGAGGGTTTTCTGTTAATCACAGTGCATGGTCCCATTAAGGAAGGAAAAACCAGTCGCTGCACCACTTGGCCCCCACACTCACACCCTTTTGTTTTTGCATTTTTCCATTTGATGTGACTTGCCAGCCAGCCACGATGCCTTGGCAATGATTCATCATGCAGATGCAGTCACATATCATCCTAGTGCTATGCCCACTTATCCATCCCCACCACCCCACTCTCCTCTCTCTATTTCCCTCACCCACCATCTCAACAAAACCTATCTTTTTCCTAACTCACACTCCTTCATCTTTCACTCCTTTTTCATTTTTCTCCACCTTTACTTCTCATATTCCATCAACCTCAGTACTGGGCCCTCGCAATTTTACTTCATACGCCAAAAGCTACCATAAATAATAAACCTGAATATGCATATACGGTTCTCAAGAGCCGTATTAAGCACGCAGGATTAGATTTGGTGTCTCATTTTGAGTAGTGTCATGCAAAGAAAGATTTTGGAGGAAAAAGAGTGCGCTTTATGCTTCTAATTTATGCCCTAATGATGGCTCCAGTTACTACTCACATTATCAAATCCACTACATTCATAAACCCTTTGATATTTTGATCCGACTTTTTTATCCTCAAGAATCCGATTAAGTGTACTTAATGGAAAATGGGAACATTCTACGAACAACATTATTGTCATAATCTAATATATCCAATGAATTTATGCTGGGTTAATTATTAAATCGACTGTCCTTTGGATCTTTGTCAATATCCAAGAGTTCATTTTCTTATGTGTGGTTTTATTACTACTAGTGCCTAGGGCACCAACTAGAATAGTCCCAAATATATATTATTAATTGATTGTCCTATGCCACTACTATTACTATAAAAAAAAAACACATTATGTATATCTTATAATGCGACATTGCTTCCATGCCCTAGAGCTGGGTCCATGACCATTATTGAATGACTTTGTACCTCAATCGCAAAGGTACCATGTTTAACCCTTCCTTGACAATAGTCCAAACCCACCATCAGCTCCATAATATTATTATATAATATATATATTCATGTTTTCTAAATAAGGGAGATTTAAGAGAAAGATAAAAAGGGAATTCATTTAAGATTAAGAGACATTAATTTATTTTTTGTTGGATAAAGACTGTCTACTTGCAGAGCATGAGAAGATTGACCTTTACTTTGGGACAGCTAACTTCCATATGCACAAACTTTCACTTGTGACAAAATAATAAAAACGAAATCCAAAATCAAACAAAATTAAATAATGGTGGCCAACGATGTACAAAAATAAAACCAAAGATAAAAAGGAAAAGAGAAGGATATGATATTATTATGGTTGTGGGATTAAAGTTCCACGTTTAGTTCTGTAGTTTGTTGTGCCCTTATTAATATGGACGAAAAACAAAAGGCAAATAAATAGAATTACCGACCCACGCCACGACCGCGAAAAAAGAAAAAGGCATGCATCGAGAAAACATATTTGGGAGACACGCTTTAATATTTGAGTAGCAACCAAATCAAAATTATGCGCATCTCTATCAAGGAAACAGATTTTTAAAAAAATGTGAGATGCATTTTTCATGATCATAGATTAAACTTGATAGGACCCAGTTGGAAAGAATCATGAATGCTCTGCTTCCTCCATGTACAGACATCTGTTTTAGTTTCATTTTAAAAGGACAAAATATTTAATCCAATCAAATTAAATTCATTTCATTAAGTTTGGGATTTCATACTTTTTCTCAACTAAACCTATATCTTATGAAGAATAAGTTCATTTGGGTTCAGATTATCCATCGTCTACTTAAAATTAAAGCGTATTAATATAAAAAGAAAAGTGTTTTTACACCGTTATTTGATCATATATATCTATATCTATACCTTAAACTATAATGGATAAATATATTAAAAAATATAATATGTTCTGACTCTAGAAAAAAATAAAAATATTATATAGTTATAATTTTTACTCAAAATTGATTAATTTAAAGATAAAGAAAATAACTTAACCAATTCGATTAATTTTATTAAACCACTATTTATAGCAAATTGTTTTTAGTAGAATGACTTAAAGGTCATATCAATTGTGATATTTGATAGTTCGATAATTACTATTCACCTTTAATAAAAAAAATAAAAAAAAGGTTTGATGGGTATGCACCGTAAACAAATTACAGATCGTGCTTATGATTTTTGATGAAGTTAATTTAAAATTGACAAATTTATAATACATAGTAGTTTATAAATAAACTAGAATATAAAATATTAGTTAGTGTATACTTTGTTGGACTGTTAATTATTTATTTTTTGGTAATAACTACTCACTAAAGTCTAAACTATCACTACTACTACTTTCTCTTGGACTCTCACTTTAAGTTAATATTACGTTAATCTGTTAAAAATCAAATTTAACAAATTATTCAAAAATAAATGCTAAAATTATTTTTTGTTCTTATTTAATTTTTTATTCTCAATTTTGATCTCTTTAGTATCTAAATTCTAAAAAAATATATAATTTTGGTCTAATATCAATTATATATATATATATATATATATATATATATATATATATATATATTTTTTTTTCAATTCTAACTAACTAAACTATTTCTTAGTTGTACCTAAATAAATATGTTAAGTGTAAAGTTGGATCAAAATCTAATAGATAAAATGTATAAAAAAACTAGAATCAAACCAAATTTAGGTATTTCTGAAATTTGGGAATTAAAACTGTGACAAAAAAGAGAAACTAAAATCATAAATCATGAATTAAAATGAACCAAAACTATGATTTAGTAAACAATAAATTAGAAAGATACAGAATAACACTTATATTTCAACAAACAATTATACCTTGAACTCACTAAGAATACTTATGCAACTTTAAACTAAATGTTTTGTCATTCCAAGTTTCTCCTCTGCTCATATAAACACTATGGCTGCCTCAGCATTTTTGAGAGAAAAAAAAAAAGAAGATACATTTGTAAATTTTAAAGTGCTTATACAGTGCAATTTTGTTTTATTGAACAGATATAAAAATCTTTGCATCAATATCTTATAGATCATTGACCAAATAGTTATATAATAAAAGAACCCATGCGATTATGGGTTCTTACGTAAATGCTTACGTATGTTGTCTACGTAGATGACTCACATTACATTCATATTAGCATTATTAAATATGTGTTTTAATTAACTTTTTTAGAAAAACAATTTATCCCTTAACTAAAAAGGAATTATTGAAAAAGATTATTTTTCAAGACTTATATCAGCTAAACATATGCTAAGCTGCAGACTTATAAGGTACTCTGATGTAAATGATGATAATCTCAACATATGTTTAAAGAATATGTGAAATAAATGGTTTTCTTTAGTACAACATACAAAAGAAAATTAGGTAATGTTTGGATTGAAAGCTTTATAATTTTTAAAACATTTAAATACATTCAATTTGTTTTTTTTTTAAATTAATTAGTTTTAAAACATTCAACTTTTAAAACAAATTATATATATATATATATATATATATATATATAATATTTTAATTTTATTATTTATATAATTATTTTAATTAATATCAAATAAATAATATTGAATAACGTTGATTGAATAATATTTTTTATAAATATCAATAAAAAATAACGATTTCATTGATTGAAATATCAATAAAATATCTAGATGACATTTTCAAAAAGATATCCTCGCATTGATTGAAAAAAATTATAACATATGTCAACCTAGTGACCTACATCAAGGGTGAATAATCCTAATATCATCTCTTTCAAATTTGACATTAAACCACTACAAGAAAATCGCCAGACGGATATTTACCGATGGAATTGTAACCGTTGGAAAATAATCATTACCGACGGAAATTATCGACGGATATAAAATATTTGTGAAATTTGATGTTATTGACGGATATATTTGTCGGTAAAATAATAATTAGTTACCGACGGATATATCCGTCGATAAATCCGTCAATAATTTATAGATGAATTTACCGATCGAATATATCCGTCGGTAAATCCGTCGATAAATTAACAAGTAATTATCGACGGATATATCCGTCGGTAAATTCATATGTAAATTAAAAATTATTTACCGACGGATAAATCCGTCGGTAAAATTATATAATATAATTTAATTATTCACTAATTAAAAAATAAAATATTTTTTATTTAATAATTTAATTTAATCATAATTAGATTAATTTATAATAATTTATTAAATTAAGTAATTTTAAAAATAAATATTTAATTATATATAAATATATATAAATACATATATATATATATAAATATATAAAAATATAAATATATAAAAATATATATAAATATATAAAAATATATATAAATATATATAAATATATATAAATATATAAATATATATATATATAATATATATATAAATATATATAAATGTATATAAATATATATAAATATATATAAATATATATAAATATATATAAATCTATATAAATATATATAAATATATAAAAATATATAAAAATATATAAAAATATATATAAATATATATATATATATATATAAATGTATATAAATATATATAAATATATATAAATATATATAAAATATATATAAATATATATAAAATATAAAAATATATATATAAATATATATAAATGTATATAAAAATATATAAATATAAAATATAAATATATATAAATATATATAAATATAAAATATAAAATATATAAATATATAAGTATATAAATATATAAATATATATATAAATATAAAAATATATATAAATATAAAAATATATATAAATATATATAAATATATATAAATATATATAAATATATATAAATATATATAAATATATATAAATATATATAAATATATATAAATATATAAAAATATATAAAAAAAAATATATATATATATATATAAATATATATAAATATATATAAATGTATATAAATATATATAAATATATATAAATATATATAAATATATATAAATCTATATAAATATATATAAATCTATATAAATATATATAAATCAATATAAATATATAAAAATATATATAAATATATAAAAATATATATAAATATATATATAAATGTATATAAATATATATAAATATATATAAATATATATAAATATATATAAATATATATATAAATATATAAAAAAATATAAAAAATATATATAAATGTATTTGTATATTTGTATATAAATATAATTTATTTGTAAATTGTTATCAAGAAACTTCGGTAGCTTAGTGGTTGGAGTATCAGCCTTCGACTTCTAAGTCTTGGGTTCGAATCATGCCAATGACATTTCTCTTAATCTGACAATAATTCAAAGTTATAAAAATATAATAATTGAAATAATTAATAATAAATAATAAGAATATAAGGGGAGGGGTTCTATAAAAAATAATGTTATAAATAAGTAAAATATTTAATAATTAATAAAATTATTTCCGACAGATTTTGACCGAAAAATAACTACTGCTAAAAGATATTGATTAATGTTGTTCGATAAATAATCTTAACTTCAATTTAAATAGATGTTGGTTAAAAAAATATTTAATTGAAATCTGCCAAAAATAATTTCAGTTAATGCTAATAGAAAAATCATGTTCAACTTAAGTGGAAAATATTCTCGATATTGACAAAGAAAATCTTATTAACATCAGTTGAAAAACAACATACACAAAATATAATTTTAGTGATGTCAACTAAAAATAGCTACGAAATATGAAAGAATCTTACTGACATTAATTGAAAAAATAATGTAATAAAATTGAGTCAATTATATCCTTACGATACCAAATCAAAGGGACGAAATTGAAGTGATAGCATGAAGAGAAAATAGTTGAAAGAATATAGAATATCAATAATTTCAAATTCGCACTTTTTAAGTTAAAATTTAAATTTTTAGTAATGAAATTTCTCCCAAAAATCCTAAAAAATTATTTTCTTTTACAAAAATTTGTTCAAACAATATATTTTATTATAAAATATATATATATATATATATATATTTATTTATAAAAAAGCAATTTATTCTTGATTTTTTTTTCCTATCAAACTAGGTAAGGTATGGGAATATTTGATGTGTTACATTTTTACTCATTATAAAGTTCCGTTTTGATTAGATTTACAATTTGTAATTCTTTTCATTTTTAAGTGAAATGTTTATGGCCGAAATTAAAATAAACAATAATATTATTTTTTTTCAAACATCTTTTAGATTATTATTATTATTATTATTATTATTATTATTATTATTATTATTATTATTAACTAAAAGGAGAACATGGTACAAACCCAATGTTCATAACTAAATTCCTCAATAAGAGACCAATAAACTGAGTTCCCAAATGCATATGCTAACAATATCCAAGCCTAATAGTCCCAAGCTACGAAGCATATGAGTATGGGCTCTGCTCAATCAAATGAAAAATATGTTTGACACAAAAAATCTTAAAAGGGCTTGACCCATTTTCAAACCAGAATCCGTTAAGAAATAATAACGAAAAATATAGAAAGAAGTACTGCCGTGCCCAATTTGTTAAACAGTAAAGGGTCCAATGGACTGGCCCAGTTGATTTCAGTAAAAAATAAGAATGAATATACTTTCTAAATATAATATTTTAGAGTCTATATTTTAAAAAGTACAAAAGTTTATAATGAATAATATGAATCAAAATAATTTTTTATTTGATATGACTAAAATTTATAATAAATACATACTTTTCAGTATTAAATAGTTTTTTTTACATAAATGATATTTATATTTATGATAAATAACTTCTATTCTGATAGTTTTTTTAAGCTACAAAGTCTATCTTACACAATATTAAATTTTAATTCAGAGATAAAAAGGTAAGAAAGCATTGGAAGAGATAAAAAAAATTGATATTAGTAAAAAAAAATCCTAAAAATGTTATCATTTAAGATATATAACGTCACGGTAAAAAACTAACTTTTGTGTGACCTGAATTTGTATAGAGTTATTGATTTTTTATTAGGAGTTGTGCTATCGGCCTTTGGGCCCTTCTATTCGCACCTTCCCAAGAATCTATTTAAACTACCTAAACAAAATCCAAAGATAAACATATAATTTTTTTATATAATTAAAAACAAAAACATGTTTTCACTTATCATAATTAACACAGCAATTTTTTTCGTGTTAATTTTTTTTTTTCAAAAACAAACAAAAATAAGTTTTAGTTGTATTATTTGTTTTTTTGGAAAACAGTATAACCAAAATAAGTTTTTGTAGCATCGTGTTATTTTGAATTTTTTGCAATTTTTTTAATACATCGAAATCTTATTTTTGTTATGTAAATTGAAAACATATTTTTCGTGTTAATTTTTTTAAAAATCGACATAATTAAAACTTATCTCCGATATTTTCGTAAAAAAAAAATAGAGCGAAAGTAGGTTTAAATAGTAAATGGAGGTGCCAATAACAATGCCCCTTTGTATTATTTCCTAATGTTGGGATAAGCCAGATATTTTGTATTTTTCATTCCAAACTGCTTTTTTTTTTTTTCTTTCTCTTTACATTCTTCACTTTTCTTTTACATTTAAAAATGTCAAACTACCATTTTTCTCTCACATCTCTACCTGCATTATCTACCCTCATTTTCTTCTCTCTAAAAATCTCAAGTTATTCCTAGGTTTGGTAAAAAAGGGAAAAAAAAACTAGGTGTGCAGAGGAAAAAAGTGGGGCAAATAGACAATTTAATAATGAAATTATCAAAATAAAAATAATTAACAGAAAATTATTACAAATGAGGACTTTTAAAGAGACAGGAAAGACAGAAAATCAGTTTGACTAATAAATAAAGTAAACAAAGTCTAATTCAATGTACAGCTAAAATACATGTTCCTTTATAGAATAAGTTAAAAAACAAATTATCAAGATTTCATCGTGTCTTCATAACTGAGGAATTCATAGTTGTTAATGGAATCACTGAATTCACTTGTACTTATTCTTCTTGTTGCTTTCACAAAAACATTAATAATTCACTTTCTACCTTGTAATTTTTCACTTCACTAACAGTGATTTCTAGACTATAAACCCAGTCAAAATGATCTTTACGTTGATTATTCCATTTGTCTCCTCCATCTTGCTGTAATCATTGTACTAGAGTGCTCCTTAACACAATGCAACAGATAGAATGATCACGAGACTAATTCTACCATGCAACTTGCATATTAGAGCACATCTATTATGCTCTTTACATCTGCACTATTGATTTGATTGCTAAACATATATCGATGAATTAGATTAAACATACATTTTAATATTTTAATTTGCTTTTTAGAATATAGTATGTGCGATAAAATGCTTATCCCACAACAAATTTTGCATCACAGTATGCCCACAGGTCCTAATCAATCCAATCATAAGGTAATGAGTTGACAGCACCCAGCGCAATCTGTGCGATCAAATTTTCAATCATCAATTTCTAATACTTATATTCTGAAATCGTCCTTCTCCCTTGTGAAAATATACAAATTTCTGTAGTTTTATAAGACCCTGCAGACATAAGAAGATGCATTATAGAGTTAATAGCTAACATTGTGGAACAAATAGAGGGATTATTCCATGGAGAGGGACAAGTAGAGGGAGATCAATAACATTTTTAGTGTTGGATTTTTGGTCAAGCTTAATGCCGTAGTGTGTGATAGGTTAGGGTGGCAGGACTGAAAACACAACTAGTATTTCATAAGGACAGAATCTGAAAAAAATTCTTGTTAAGAACATAAGATATTAAAAAAAAAAAACATACAATGCAGTTGTTTAGGTTTTTCGAACCAATATACATGGAATATGAATAATTAAAGGAACATCCAATCATTAAAAGAATCTAAATTGATCACTAAGACAGGATTCTTTTTTCTCTATACTTTTTACAAGCTGCAGTGATACAATGCCATACCCTCTTGGGTTTCCTCTGCCCTGTAATCTAGGGTGGGTAATTTATGGAGGAGAAGAAGTTTGTAGGAAAAGGTGCAATGACCTCAGCTGCTATATAACTCAACTGATCTTTCTAACAACTCGTGGTTGTTGCCTGAAATTTCTTTAACTCTTGATCCGTTTTTGTATATTTTGAAGACTGGGATGGAGTACACACCTTCTGACTTTGCTAAGTAAGGGTGGTCTTCGATCTCCACCTAAAGAAATATCATTTAGATATAAGTAACGATGAAAAATACTCGGCTATTAGTCAAAGTTATTTTCTTAGTTACACTATTAGTTGCATTTGGTTAGTGAAGTCGTTTCTTTCTTTTCTTGGTTCTTTCCTGCATAGAAAGCTACTTCTTTTTATATAACATGTTTGTCCAATGTTTCAATCAGAACCATTTTATAGAGTTCAAGATTCTATATTCTAAACTTTTCATTTTACATTCCCATAAGATGAAGAGTCTAAACAATATAAAATGAACCAACCTTGAGGAAATGAACTGATGGGAATCTTTTGCTTGTTTGCTCCAACATAAGTAACACTTTCTTGTGGGTTGCCTTGTTGCAAAAGAGAACCACAGCCATCCCTATTCAATACCCCTCACGACTGGTTAGTGTATTTGTAGTACTAAAATTAATGCAATTTGTCAACAAAAGAAAGCCAAATATGCTTTACCAGGTGAAGTTACATAATGTCTGAACCGATCATTACTTGAGATGAAAACCAAGTTTGAACCAAATTTCAAGTCCTTAATATCTTCACCTCGCAGCATCTTGAGTTGGAGCTGAGCTTCAAACAAAGCCCTTCCCACTTCCTCGTCCCCTGGCCTTTCTCTCAATAGCATTTCATAGTCTTGAATAGCAGCTTCCCACCGTTCCAACTACATTTACAAGAAAATTCACAGAAGGGTTATTATTGCTGCAACTAAGTATGTACTAGAAGTATTAAATCATAGCATAGAAATACCTTGGCATTGCAATCTGCCCTCCTTAACCTTGCTTTGCTATAACCTGGCTGAAACATAAGTGCCGCGTTACAATCTTCAATTGCTTTCTCATATTGGCCAAGCTTCGAACGACAAGCAGCTCTGTTGCATAGCAGAACTGAGTTGTGAGGATCATGTTCTAGTCCTTCGTTGTAGACGGCACATGCTTCGGTGAATTTTGAGGCCTTAAAGAGCAAGTTTCCACTCATTCTAGCTGATGTTGCTGCTCTGGCCCTCCTTACCACTGCATTCACCTCTCTATTGCCTGGATCAACTTTAGCTGCTTGCTGAGCTGCTGTTACAGCTTCCTCGAACCTTTTAAACAACAAAATTCATCTTCAGATTCACATCTAATTAGGCTCGACAATATACCAGCATTGTGGATATACAAATAAATAATTTGCAGCTGAGGCGGATAATTTCTACAGTTTGGTGTGTAGAGATATGTGATGTAGTATAACATTTTTTATATTGCATCATTCTCACAAGTCAGTTTTCATTTCAAATACATAAAACATGAGAAGAATTTGTCAAACACTTTAAAAATAAAGCATTTTTCACCAACCTGCCAGCGGCCAGGTAAACCAGTGCCCCTATCATCAACAGGTAAGCGCTGCGAGCCGGGCCAAATACCTTGGTACACCAATCAAGTGGAAATTTTGGCATATTTTCATAGATGGCATAAGCCTCTTGATATCTTAGGAGCTTCAGCAAGGCTTCAGTTTGTAAAGCATAGACCTATCATACATAACCAATTTTTAATTAATCAGCATGAATCATAGCAGCTGTGTCCTGTGTGATTCTGTGAGACCAATATTACTGCAAAGGGGAATTCTAGATATTTCCAGATTGACAGCATTATTGGCCAATTGAAGGAACACTGATACAGAATCCAAGATTAAAAATAAAAACTATTTGGGCTTTCATACGAAACTTCAAAATAAAATGTTAGACCAAGGAAATGACTAACCTGTGGAGATGAATCAGCACCTAAGGATATGGCACACTGTGTTTCCTTTAGTATATCACTCCATGCATTGACTTTCCGTGCTTCTCTGCATTTGTTAAGGTGATTTTGAAGAGACTGAGCTTGGAAGGCATGTATTGAATCAGCACATCCGGTTGATTGATTGCAATCAAGTGCTTTTTCTGCTTCTCCCAACCTGCATTCAAATTTGCAATATTATAATTAAAAATAACAGCAACAAAAAAAATATTTACTATCATGATGCAAAGCATACTTAACATCATTGAATAAAGAATATATATTGGATTATTATCACTAAGTACCTGAAATATATTGTCGCCAAACGGTTGTGGGCTCTGACATACGAAGGGTCCAGTTTGATAGATTCCTCACACTCAAAAATTGCTTGTTGAAGCCTTCCTAAACCAATTAAAGCTGCACTCTTGTTGCAATGATAGGTTGCCTTATTTGAATCAAGTGCAATTGCTCGGTCATACAAAGTCAAAGCCTCTTCAAATCTTCCCTGCTTGTATGCTTCATTTCCCACGGATTTCAACACCTCAGGGTCCACTTTTTTCTGCCTTGGACTTAAAAACTGTCCAACCTCATTGCCAATGCTGTTCCTCCTCATGATATTTCCCATTAAGCCTGCGCTTGCATTGGAGTAGGAATTAGGCACAGAGTTGAACTCTACATTTTTAGGCATGTACTCCACACTCTTTCTCCTTGGGGTGTTATTCACAAGCAAATTCCCAGTGAGCTTCAATTGTGACTTATTGTTTTCATTGCTAGTACTTATCCTAGCAAGTGCTAGAGAATTTCCAGTGGGGTCTCTATGTGGCTTGCGCTCATGATTCTTCTCCTTGTTTTGTTGAACCTTAGTGTGAGTTGAAATTGAAGTTCTCGGGGATGATGATGATGTTGAGCTTCTTGCAGCAACATCTGAATGCCTATGATGTTGATTGTTTCGATTTGTACAAGGTTGTTGTTGGTGAACAGAGGCACTCTTTGTGGCATGTTTCTGTTCTGCACCACTGAGTCTGTGTGGCTCAGGGTTGGTGTAACCTTTTTTTGGAACCTTTGATTCTTCTTCATTTGGGGTCTTCTTTGGTTCTTCACTTTTTCGATCATCATCACTCTGCGGATTCTTCAAGGGCAGGGAGTGAACAGTTGCTTTTCTCAGCTTGTGGCTTTTGAGATGGAGAATTCCCATGAGGCCACACCCCAATTCACTCCCCACCTTGTTGTTCTTTGCCTTCGCTGCCATGACTTGTTGAAGAGGTTTGTGAAGTGTCACAGAAACAACTATACGCGTTGTTTAGTTGGAGGGAAAAACAAAACAAAATTAACCAAAGAATAAAGCACAGAAGCTGAAAGATATCTGAGAAATTATGAAAGGGAAATCTTAAAGTGATGGCTTGAATAGGAAGCACTTTATTATGCAAGAGGCGTGCCCTGTACAACATGTTTATGTGCCTATATATATATATATATATATATATATATATATATATATATATATATATATATATATATATATATATATATATATATATATATATATATATATATATATATATATATATATATATATATGACACTTAATAGTCTTATAGAGCACCTTCCAAGCAACTACTTTAATTCTTTGACTTATTTCCGCGGCTTTCGGGACACAAAAGGGGTAAGGGTCGATGATTCAATTTCGAGAGAATGGTAACATGATAGGAAAACACATAGGATAAGTTCTGTTATTAAACAAAGACCAAGTTAAAAGTGAAAAATTCACAGGTTTGAACATGTCAAAAGGAACCTTAAGGACCAAAATTCACACCTCACAGTGACAGCATCGGATTTAAAATGCTACTATTTGTGTATGCTGATCCAATGTTACCTCTGCATTTTATTCCCAAAGGAGGTAATAATTTAATCACTAGATAATAAGTGTCTCTGATGTCACTGGTAAAGAAAAATGTTATCTGTAGAATAATTTATAGGTCATATATTATTTTTTTTAATTGAGTTTGTTAGGATGTACCCTCGTGTAGGACCGAGGACAAAAGTATAATTTAATTAAAATTAAAAGAAAGAAAGAAAGGTTGGAAGGATTATAATAATAAGGTCTGTCGCAGCATCATAGGATAAATAGAAACACATAGTTTTATCAATTGCTACTAAGCTCTTAGAACCTTCTTATGTATAATTAAATCAAACATTTTCTTTTAGATGCAATTAAATGTGAAGACAAACTATAAACACAAGACTATAAGTATATCCTAAAAAATATTGTACATAGTTTGTTTCTCATTGACAAAACACCATATCCATTATAGAACTTCAACTTGAAACTCTTAGATTTACTTTCCTTACATGTTAAATTGTTAATCTCATCCACTTGGCTATCAAGTCATGAATCTTAAACATCTTTCCCTAATTTTTTTTTTTGCAAATACAATATTTTTGTGTGGTCAACTTTTAATTTAATCTGCAAGGTTGATAAATAATTTAAAGCATGTGTGTAGAATCGTATTGACCTCTTCAAAAGAGGGAAACTTATGGAAATTTAGGCCCCTAAAAAATTGCCATTCTCATTTTCAGGCAATTTATTACTTTTCAGCCATGTCATAGAGTACTTGTAATTATTATTATTATTTATTGTAGAAACTATTTTTTCAGTTCATGTGTCACATCTTTCTACTTTAACCAAATACTAACATATTGACTTTTTTCTTGTTTTATATTTATATAAGTTTACCAGTTTCAATTTTCAAACTACAAAAATAACATTCATTATTATACAACAACTTTTAAATTAAAAATACGTGTCCAAGGAACATTTAGCTTGCGAATGGAGAAGTGAATTCTAGGGAATAAAAAAGAGTGGGTATGGAAAATGAAGTGCTTGCATTGAGGAAAGAAAATGAAAAATGAAAAAAATAATAATTTGAATGATTAAAAAAAATTAAATAATAAGATAAATTGATAAATGGTTAAAAAATTATTATAAAATTTAATAAAAATATATAAATTAAAATAAAAATGTAATTTAATATGAAGTAATTATTTTAAAAAATATATAAAATAAAATTATTTTATATATAAATTATGAAAAATTGTGATATTTTGTGGATATATATTAATTTTAATTTTTTTATAATAATGTATAATGAATATTAAAATATAGAAATTTGTTGAAAAAAATTATTGTGTAATTATTTTTTATATATTTTTATAAAATTTAAATTATTAAACCTATAATTTTTTTCAATTTAATAATTTATGTATCAAATGAAAGTGTTGTTGATAAAAATTTAGAAGACTAAAATGGTGTATTTTATTATTTTATTTATTTTTTAAAATGAAAAAATAACTAACTTTAAACTTATAATTATGTTAATTTTTTATATAACTGATATAATATATATATATATATATATATATATATATATATATATATATATATATATCACCTAACAGTATCTTTTATATTATTATATTCACTTTTACAGATATATAAAACTCTCACATGGTTACTCAATAAAAAAAAATTGACTGTGAACTTAAAAAAAAAAAACTATATACAAGTTAAATCACATAATTGAATATTAACTAACCATAATACATTATTCAAAAGTATATCGATTATTATTTTAATATAATCATTATTTTTATTTGTATTATACGATTATATTTTAAAAATATATATAATTCTTTTAATTATGATTTCTCAAGGATTTATATTTATTTTATATATTTATTAATCTCACTTTATTTACGAATTGATATTAAAAATAATTTATATATTATTATTTATTAAGATATTTTTTAAAGATAAAATTATGATGAATTATAATTTTAAAATGAATAATAATTTTTAATATATTATAATATCATAAAATTGAAAAATTGTTATTTTTAGGTGAAACATTAATATCTACCATTAAGATGAAAGATGACATATATTATGAATCTCATGTATATTACATTTTAAAATTGCCTAGAGTACACATAATATATATAAAAACATAATATATATATATATAAAGCATTATTATCTATCTACACAATTATTTCTTTTATTAGTACAAAATAAATATAGTTTAAAAGGTAATGATACTATAATACTGAATATCATAGTGACTATGATAAGATCAAGAAGATAGTATCGTTCTAGTTATATGCTTAGTCCTCAATTGACAATTTATATTCTGTTACCTGATAAATCTTATATCTTTTTAGAAATCTAAGTATAATTTAAAAGTTTCAAGATCGGACAGAATATATATAATATACACGTTATTATCGAGTAATTCTTTTATGATTCGAAAACAAATATAATTTAAAATGTAACATATGACATATACATAGAACGTTATTACATATGTACAGTCATTCTTTTGTGCACAGAGGAACCCTAGCAATTGAAGTAAACAAGGACTTAGGTTATTTGATAAATCTTTGTTTGTTTTTTCTCTCAGTTTGCGTACGTGTTCGTGTATGGTTAATGCATCACAGGATCGTAACAAAATGGTTTAGTTGTAATGGTAGGTTTGGAGCCAACACTTTTTGACCAGATGCATAGCACTCATGAGAACCAAATATTACTTACTATGGTCCTAATCACAAAAAGCACTTAATAGTAATGACCCAAACATTCAAATTTCAATAAAGATATTATTTAATGTTTAATTTAGTGTGATACATGAGACAAAACATTGACTGCCTCATACATATGGTGATTTTTGTTGCCTGAATGTAGTACTTTAGGAATACATAAGGCCTTTTCTAGTTTAGCAGAATCATACCCTTTTAAAATAATTCGCCAAATTAATAAAAAGTTTACTAAAAGTAATATCTTGGGAATATATTCACAAAATCCGCCATTTAAATTGAAAAAAAAAACATTAAAAATAATTAAGTAGATTGTTATAAAACCATACTCTTGGAATCAATTTGAGATTGAAATGAGTTTGTTGTTTAACAATATAGAATTGGTGCAATGGTCACGGTGAGAATTAATGATGATTTAACATTTTACATATATTAGCTGTTAACAACTTAGCCCCAGTTGAAAAATCAAAGCATGGTGTTAATTGTTGATTCTTGATTATGATGGGTGTTTAAATCTGATGCTAAGCTACAATCACTGAGACCCTTTTCCCAATTTAACTTTTGGATACTTGTCAAAACCAATCATGTAAGTTATCTTTCTTTTTCACCTCATCTTTTTCCATTGGATTTGACAAGAAAAGCATTTTGGCTAGCCCACAAGGCCCCCCCAAGCTTTCCACCCCAGTTGAATGAATCCTCATATATTCAATTGTGAACCATTTCATTTTAGCACCTTTCTGCCACCTTCCTGTCTAAATCCATTTAGATAGATGGTTGGTGAAGATTCTTGCCTCTTGTTTTTATGTGACACTGAAACATTGAGGATTTCACTCGTTTTCATTAGATACGGTTATGTGCTTGGGACCATCCATTGTTCCCATAAAATCAGAGTTCAGATTTTCTCACAACAATTTGTCCATCACTCTGCCCCACGCCACCCACCCTTTCTCTCAAACTCTTGTCGGTGCCCCTTTTTCAAACAAAACACCCTATATTCCTACCATGCATGGTATTTATTAGTGATTTGCAACATATTGCAAAAAACTATAAGACAACAAAATCAAACATGTCTGCTTAAAATCCATGTTTTTTTTTTCACCGTATATGTTTAGATTATTCGGTTCCGCTGTTGAAAGGTAAAAATTTAACCATCAGATTTACTTGTGCTTTATTTTATGCTTTTTAAAACAGATTGTTACTACATTTTCAAATTTTTGTGTTTTTAAATATTTGTATGTAAATAGAGAAAACAAGAGAAGTTGCTTTCAGTGCTCTTTAGAAAAAAAATGAAAAGAAAAACTCACTAGACAATCTATTAAAAATAAAAGTTTAAAAAAAAAATCACGTGTGAGTACAGGATGATCAATTAAGAAAAAAGATAAGATGAAAAAAATAAAATGATTTTTTCACAAGTTAAAATTAATTTATAAAAAAATAAATATGAGATTTATAAATTTATTTAAAAAAATTTCTACACATTATTCATGCTTAAGATAATTTTAATTTATTAAAAAAAATATTTCACCATTTTTTCGTCTACTTTTTCTTACACGTAGGAATTGAATATTATGAAAATTTATGATAACTCACGCATACGTTGAGCCAATAAAAATAGACTTCCCTCAATTATTTATTTTGGCTCTTTTCATAAGGGTTTGG